GATGGCGCCCTTTCTGGCCTGGTACCCGTTGCCGCTCGTTTGAAGCGAAGCGGCTGTGCCCCGTTGCTTCAAGTGACCCCCAATAAATCCCTTGGTTGGTGAGGATGTACTTTGACCCCTTGAGACCCCCAAGTGCATCCTATGCTTGGAGCCTTTGACTTTGTGAGGCTAGCCACTTGGAGAATCACATTGCACATGGGGGGGGGCTTATAAGTGGCTTGCCCGAATGGAACGACAGCTTTCTGAGGGCCTGACTGTTTGTTTGGACACCTTCTTCAGGGAATTGGCGACTAGGCCGGTCGCCACTTTTTTTACGCCTGGCTTTCTAGTGACTTGTTTTGGGGATTCCCGTTGAAAACAAGTACCTTTGACCTCAAGTACCGAGATACGGAGATAGCCCAGTTGCACAGTGGCTGCCCATGGTTTTGTGGTTCTCTTGTTTGTTTGGGGCGGAGGCGGGGGGAGGGGTTCCAGTGAAATAGCTGTGTTACTTTTGCGTAATGAAGCACAGCTGCCCAGAAACGGGCCCATATTTGGCAAAGGTGGAGACCTTGCGCAACAGCAAAGGTTTGTACTCTTCCGTGCCCACACTTTGCATGTTTCTCATCTCCCTTGTTTTCTTGCAACTTGGTTCTGTTTTGCGGATCCCGGCAGCCCTTTTTGGCTGCCCTGGTGCTTTTGCGCCATCTCTCATAACACTGCTCCCAGCCCCTGCCAGGCTCTTCGCTTTCCGGCGCAACATCTACGACCTGGCGGCGACTTGTTTGGGCTTCGGTTTGGTATGGATCAAAATTCCCTGTTTTGGCGGTTTTGTTTTGTATTGGTATGGATCAAACTTCCCTTTCGGCCCGCAAATGGTATTTGGTGAATCTCATCTTTTTGGGTGGTTTCCCGAATGGTCACCCCCTGTCAAAAACGCCTTTTGATCCACCCCCACTTGCTCTGAGCAGCCCAGAGGGTCTCGTGAAATATGTGTCGGAGAAAGATGCTTGCGACTGTATTTCAAGCATGAACTCATACGCTGGCAAGTGACATTGGCAGGACTGGGCAAACCGATGCGCGACCTAGCAAAGCGATTTGCTTAGCAAGCTTACTCCTGATGAAGTCGTGTTTCTCCAGGGTCTATTCTTAAAATTAACGTTAGTGCATTGTTCGTTACCAAGATATGTCCGGCTCACGAAAACAAGGACCATAAGTACCAAAGGAAGAACAACAAAGGACCCAACCTGAAACCAGAAAAGTATGCCGCCAAGTCATGCTGAGAGTTGCTGACTCCACATGGGAGCTGTGTGGGTTTGTCTCAACATGAGAGGCCCTGCAACGTGGCTTCACACCGAAGGTTGCCATCCCCAATTAAGCCGCAGGGAGCTCTGGACCTCATGGCAAGCTTCAGAAACGTGAGTTCAACTGAGCACAGTAGACATCATATGTGGGGAAGTCAAGGCACCCCAAAATCACACCACTTGGCGTCCGGGATTTCCCCAAGGCTTACCTTGAGGGATAGTTTTGGGGCATGTAGCGTCTGAGAACGAAGAACACCTAAGGTTCAAGAGGAAACCATCCATTTTGATGGATCATTTCGAAGCAAACCTGTACCAGCAAAATTCAAAGAGAAAGCAGCCCTCTCTAAGCCTGAGACACTCCAAAAAGCAAAAGATAAAGTAAGGACAATAGAAACCCGAAACCAAGTAATTGAGGAAACCTTGTGGTCCCCAGCCAAGGGAAGCCTAGCACAAACAGGCGAAGCCGCTTGCCGAGGATAAGCTCCTGGAGCCTACTAAAACATCGCGCTCCAGCGCGCTGGTGGAGGCGGCTTGCATGGATCAGCTGCCCAGGGAGGTGAAGACCTTCCTGGTGGCGCTGCTCGGATTGCGCCTCGGACGGGTTTGGCGGCGGGTTTTGGGTGACTCGGTCGTTCAACCAAAAAGCCGGTGGCTCAACAAGCGAAAGCCTATGGGCTCAGGGGGTCTTACGTTGGTGAAAGAGGGGTCCGTTTTTTCCGGGGAGTCGGCTTCCGGAAGAGAACAGTTAGGTTACGATTCCGCCGGTGCCTTTGGTATCTTTCTCTCTCTCTCTCTCTTTCTCTCTCTTTCTCTCTCTCTCTCTTTCCCTCTCTCTCTCTCTCGCTCTCTGTCTCTTGAAAAGTCACGTGGCCAGTTGCCACCGAATTGCCTGCCTCCGGACGTCTAAGTAGCTTTAGTGTACGGAACATGTGTGTACTATTGCACTTCCAGCCACAACAAATATTCACCCAGCTTTTTCCATGATAAATTATTCCACGTCAGGTACTTTCGCCTGGTCTTGAGCTTTTTCCGGGTGGGCTCCGGCTCTCTCTGCGCCGCTGGGGGCGGGGTGCACCTGCTACTGACGCCCAATGCCTCTGTGATCCTTGACACGGATGGCGCTTGGGCGCCCAAGGCGGGTAAACCGAAGCGCAAAAGCTTCGGGACAGGGCCGAGGAATGGGCTCTGTTTTTGTTGAAAACACGACGTGTGGCGTAGAGGGAAACCAAGAGAACAACTCGTTAGTTTTGTTTTTTTGGGGTCATCTTTTGACAGATGCCTGTTCTGCAGGGGACCTGTTCGGGTTCCATGAACAGGTTCCAGCTTGCACCAAAGGACAAACATGCGCAAGCATCCAAAGGGGGCCATTTGTTTCACATTCACTCAGCAACGCTTAGTTGGTGGATTGGATTGGTGGTTTGGTGGTTCTTGCAGAGGGTCAATGGCAAACCACCCCGCAACCATCAAGCCCTCAATCCAAACCACCAACTAGAGGGAGACTGATGTAGGGTTACCTAAGTTTCAATCATATCAGTGCACAACGCACAAGATCCAGTGGCTGTTCAGCTTGTTACTTGCCCAAGCCGGTCCGTCGACCGGATATCTGCGGAGTGGCCTCTTTGGCCATTGCCAAACGATGATGAGAGCACAGGTGGAACATTGGTTTAGTTTTCCTTCGGTTTCCCTTCCCCAGAGACCAATTCTCGACACTAGTGCCCAGAGGGTTGGACTCTTGAAGTGCGCCGGAGAATTCAGGCGATGCTTTGGTCTCTTTGCAGGGGAAGTTGGTGGGGAAAGGGGACCAGTGCTGCCATTTCTAGAACACGTAGGACGCAGTCCCGCGACATGCCCATATTTTTGTCTCAACCAACTGACGAGAAGCACATTCTTTCATGACGAGCATACCATTCCTTGTCCACCACTATGAGCTTGACTTTATGCAACCAGGGAGCAACCTGTGTTTGTTTCAACAGAAGCAATCATGCTTTGAGAAAGTAGCTACATGCGCAGCAGGCATCTATTCAGCAATATGGCAGTGGTTCAAAACCAATGGTACCATTTTGGGATCCCATTTTAGTCTATTTTAGTGGGGATTGGGATATTCACTGGGGGTACGATTTGGATTTTGACCCATGGCCATATTGAGCCAACAGAAGCAGCACATCGCCGGCAGCTCCTCGTTGTCTCCCTACCGCCAGGTGCGTCCAGCGCCGGGGAACCAGGGCCTCAGCTGCCCGGGCCTCAAAGGCGCCGGCGTGGCGCCCTGGCGACGGAGGCGCCGAGAAATGCGTCGGTCGATGTCGGGCGCGAGTGAAGTGTCACTGCTTGAGGGGACCGTGGGTCAGGGACAAGTTTTTGTTTTGTTCCTGTTTTGTTTCCCCCTTCCTTTTTTTCCGTTCTTTCTCTGACCCTGGGTGCGGGTCCACAAAACAGGTTTCCGGTTCAAACAACCGGTTGCCCATGGATCAGACTCGTGGGTGAACGTGCCAAGCTGACGCGGGTGGAGGCACTGATGGGCCACCGCCCCCGATGAAGTTTAAGGCGACAAGGCCATGGGTACCGGGGTGTTGAAACTTGCTTCCCAAGTTTCTGGACACGTTTCTGAGAGTCTTTGGACAGCGGACCGGGGAAGAAGACGCTTTCGTCCGGTGGCTTCTCAGTCCTCGAGTTCCTTTCGCATCTTGGGATCATTTTAGCGGCACAGGTTCGGACAGAAAGTGAGTGATTCAAGTACTCTGGCTGCCAAAATCAGATAGTAGGTGAGAGTCTACACTTTGGGATCTGCCGGGAAGTTACCCACATGCGTTTCCGGACAAATCCTGGTTGCCTCGAACCAGAAAAGGCACCGGATGACGTACAAATTTGACACTTTCTGGAGCTCAAAATGAATCGACCCCGAAAGCTCAGCTGGGTATGTGTCTAAAGAAACCGTGGAACTGGTTGTTTGAGGGCTCAGTTGCCAGTGCATGGATCTTGCCCACTTGGCTTCTCTTTCTCTAGGTTTGAGTCCCAAAAGGTGATCCGGGCGCCCTCTTCAGGGGTGTGTCCAGGTCCTAGAAAGACTCTGCACGTCCGTCTTTGATGGTGGGAGGGTAACCCTTCCTGCTCTGCCCACATGGCCACGTGGAACCTGAAAAAGGCTCACACCAAAAAGGAAAGCGAAAATGCCTTCTCGGTTTACAGGGGAGGAGTTTGTTGTTTGAACGTGACAGTGATTGTTTCAACCATTAAGCCTTGCTAAGCAGCCTACATTTCAACAGTTAAGCTTGTTTTGCGGAAGGATGTAACGAATTAGGTGTCCTTTTGATTCTACGTGGTTCAACCGTTCCATTTGAAGTCTCAGTTTTGGCTGAAGCGGCCATAAGCATTAAGCGCTGGGCCCAGGTGGCAAAGCAATCCCAGCATGAGGCCATGTGACTCCTACGGTCCTACAGGATCCTATTTGCACTACAGTAGGTAACCATGGCAAACCATCATGCACCACATAGAGGGAAGAAGCCTGGCTACCTAACAGTGTCAAGTGGATCCACTGGGAAACATGGATTTGTTGCTGTTGGTTCAAGTACAAAACCCTTTTCATAGGACACACAATAGCCACGTCTTTGTCAATCCCTCTGCTAGGAGCCATCCGTCTCCGGGCCAGAACTTGTTGCAGGCGGGGGTGGAGGTTTGGTCGGCTGGAAGTGCTGGAACAGGTTCCATGAGCTATCCCGGGTCCAAGTACAGGGATTTGACAAAGTCGTGCCTCCGTTTGAGGCATTGCTTAAATTCCATGGGGGAGAGGGCTTCGAAGAAGTCGTGCCTCTGTCCCAAACGCATAGGAACTCTGCATGTTTCAAGGGATAGGCTTTTGGGAGGCATTGCAGTTGAAAATGGTTATTCCGTGGGGTTTAGGATGGTTTAGGCATGTTCTATCTTATCCTCCTAGGAGCGTTTACAGTGTGTTTCGCAATCTTGAGACTTGACGTCTCCTTTGCTACAGCTGGTTCGAGTCGGCACCTTGCTTTTCCTCTCACCTGGACTAACCTGGCGTGTTTGCAGGGCTGAGCGGGTGTGCTTGAGGGGTGCTTATTATTTGGCTGGCGTCTGTGCAGCGCTGAGCCTGTGTGCTTGAGCGGGGGTGCTTACCATTTGGCTGGTGTGTGTGCGCAGGGCTGAGCAGGCGCGCTTGAGCGGCTGGCGTTCGCAGGTGCGAAATTGTGTTGAAAAGTGGGTGCGGAAGTGGGTTGATGGGAGCGGGTGCAGAAGTGAGTGAACTTGTGGGCGCGGGTTCGGCACATGTGGGCCCAAAATCTTCAACGGACGATCGGTGATCTCGTTTTGATCTCGTTTTGATCTCGTTTTGATCTCGTTTTGATCTCGTTTTTTGCCAGGGTGCATTGCACAAGTGCCTGCCTGCCTTCCAGAGAAAGAACTCCAGGACGTGGACAAACACGGTGCAAGAGCCTGCAAAGCCCACCCAACGCGTCATGTCTTCCTAAACTCTCCTGCCACAACCTATCGTATGCTTGGCGTTCCATTGGTTTTCATGTTCCTGCAGACGCCTCGCGGGGCTGGAAAACATGCTTTGCCATCAGTAGCGTTCCATTGTGTTTCAGTGTTGACACCTGTCTTTTTGTAGCATGATCAGCTCGGTGATGTCAAGCGTTCCATGGGGATTGTTGCCGAGGCGTGACATAGGAGTGACTTCTTGGAATCGGCGTTTACATGGGAAAACACATGGCCACACAGATAAAGGAGTGACTTAGGCATGACTTTGTCGTTTGCCTGCGTACATCCTCACAAGGTACTTGGACCCTTGGGGTATACTGGAACACACACATACGCGCACACACACACACACACACCTGGCCACAATCTGGCGACATGGTGACTCTACCAAAAGATCCAAAATTGCGCCGCCTTCCCCAGGTCAGTCGCGGGTCCTCCGCCTGGTACCGCCCCGTCTTCGACCTCATCTGGCATGCCGCGATCGTCAAGAAAGAGTTCCCACCCGACACTTGGCTGTTTGTTTTTTTCTTTGGCGAGTTGGTCCCTTTTCAGTTGCTTGGTTTGCTTGGTGGATACTTATAAATCTTAGTCCTGGTTGATGTTCATTGCCGATGTGCGATTTTCCTTTTTTACCAACCACACGCTGGGAAGTGAGGACGGGCTCTCGGAGCACGTGGCCTTGGCGTCGAAAATTCAGCCGCGGCACTTTGCTGCGGAGGGGTGGTTGGAGGCCAAGCGCTGGGGACGCTTTGAAGAGGACAGGGAAGGTTTGTGTCCCAATGGAACCAGCGGGTGTGTCTTTTCTTGAGGGTACTCCTTTTTTATGCGTTTAAGGAAATCCACTACTGGTTACTCCTGATTAGTAACTCCCCCCCCTCCCCCCTTCTGCCCTTTTGTGGATGGTTGCGAAATTCGGGAACGCAGAAAGAAACGAAACCATGGTTGAAACCATAGTGGTTGTTGGTATTTACGTTGGGGAATCGAATCATTCCCTTGGGATTTTGCACGGTGGTGCGAAATGCATTGCGTCCATCCACAGTGTGCGTGTGTGTGTGTGTGTCTCTTACTCTAAAGAAACAGGCCACCTTACCCATGATGAAGGTTCCTCATCAAATGTAATATGAGATATAAGATAATGTACATATACAGGCGTGTCGTTTCTGAGTAATTTTCTTGTGGTTTCAAAGGGACACCCTTCAGGGACGCCACCAGTTTTGGGGGTCCCCTATTTTAAGACACACCCATAATATATATATATATATATATGTATAAATATATATATATATATATATATATATATGTATATGTATAAATATATATATATATATACATATTGGATATACATATTCCCATACATATTGCTATACATATTGCTATACATGCTATATATGTATATTATATATAATATAATATATATATATATATATATAATATATATATGTATATGCTTGTAGTATGTGCACAGGAGATCCAAACAGCCTGGTGCAGCGAGCTTTCGGACAGCTCCTGGCCCTGGTCTGTGGCATCCGGCTTCCAGCGGCACTGCGCTTTCCCCGCTTCGGCCTTCTGTTCAAGGCGAGAAGGAAATAGCCCCCCCCCCCCCCGCCCCTATTACCATATATCTTATATCGTTACATTTGATGAGGAACCTTCATCATGGGTAAGGTCCATTCAGCTCCAAGGGCCCAGTGTGAACGTCTGCAAAGAAGTACCTAGCCCCCATGGTGGCTGGGATGGAAACCCAGGGGAGACCGCCCCATGAGGGCTCCATATGGTGTGTTTGATTTAGGGTAAGAGACACACACACACACGTACTTTCTGTGGATGGTTGGGAAATCCATTTTGCACCAAGAAACCCAACAAACAAATGATTCGATTCAACGTAAATACCAACAAACAATGCTTTTAACCATGGTTTCAAAGTTGTGCGAACGGATTTTGTCCATCCACAGTGCCACACCGGGGTGACCTCGTGATTTGCAGACAGATCTCCGGAGCTCGCCAATGAGTGAAATCAACGTCCTTAGGTTGCTCGGTTTTTTTTTGTTGGCGAGTTGGTATCCCTGTTTGGTGTTTAAAGGGGAAACCACAGGACAACCAAAGACATTTTTGGGTCCTAAGAGAAAGACAAACCTGCGTGGAATTTGTTTGTGAGAATCAACGTTGAAATTCAAGAACGTCTCACTGGTAGCGAGTTGTTTTTTTAGTTTGTTGTTTTGTTTGTTTTTTTGGGAGGGGGGGCATTTTGACCGATAGTGGTGTCCCAATGTGATCATGAACAATCGGATCCACCAAGAAATTTTGATTATGAAGATCCCAATTTGAAAGTGACAGTTGTTGCGCGCCTGGGACCTATTGTTTGCGAGCCTGGCGGGACACTTTTGGGTAGACAGTCCCAAACAGGTATATGTGATCTGCCCCATTTGACTCCTCCCCTGGTTTGGGTAGAAGCGAGGCTTTGATTTCCACCCAACGACTGATGGCTTCCACATCCCAAGCCGCGAGTGCTCTCCAAACAGCGAGTGCTCTCCAGGGTTTCCAGCAACGCATCTCCAAAGCCCAAACTTGGGGGGGTTGAGTCAGTTTCAGCAGGTGGGTCTCCAGCCTGACCTACTCCCAACTGGTGGCCCTCACTTCTAACGAGTCCTCGCAGCAGCATGTCTTCGAGCTGCTGGACGGTTCCGATGTCCAGTCCGTGGATGTATCGAAAAGGGAAGAGTTCCCAAAGGCGATGTCCCTCTCCCAAGAGATTGCTCCAAAATTGAGGGTTTCTCACATGAGTAGCGTTTTTTTTTTGGTTGCTCCTCCATTACATATGTAAATGTACTGAAATTATTCTTTAATATTCTTGGAAATGCGCGCCGTGCCACAGTCGCGGAAGCCCGCGGAAGCTACTCACACGTCCTGCGTAGTGAATGCGGATTGCATTACGGAGTTGCCAGTTCTGGCTGTGTTTGATTGGAAGGCGACGCCCATGGGTTTTCAGCCGCCTGTTGGGTGACTGCGCCCCTGTAGGACTGGTGCGGCGTGAGCTCGTTGAACCGCGATTTGCGCGCCCAGCAAATCTGCAGCCCAGAGCCTGAGGAGGCGCCTCATGAATTCCGGGAGAGACCCACAGACTTCCCGTTATATACCAGTGGATCATGACAATTTGGAGCCACCCACAAAAACTTGTTTTTGTTTGACATTGGGTGCTGTGCAGAGCCATGCGACGGCAGTGCGAAAGAGCGAAAGGTGAGATGTAAGTGTCGGGGGGCAGGGTCCAAGTCCCACTTGATCTCCCAACATGGACGTTCATAGGAATCTCTTCTTCAAGGAGGGGTACCCTGCGCCCAACATCATGGACGTGGACAAGGGGTTTGCACAAAAAGCAGCAAGTCCTCCAAAACCTGGCTGTGAGCTTGGAGGGACACCCGACAGATCTTTTTCTCCAGTTGCAACTGTTGACAGCGGCCTTCATCTAAGAAACCAACTGCTACAGGAATTTCTACAAGTTTGTCCAAGCCCCCGGTTTCGGTGAGTATTTGGCTGTTGAGAAGTTCAAGCTGGTTTCTATGACTAGTCGTGCGATTCCTGTTTCGACCATGTTTAAATTAGCGGAACCGTGGCCATTTCCCCGCGGAGATTTGACCACCGACATGTGTAGGTCAAAATACAGGACCACAAAGCATGGTTGAACATCCTGTTGGTTGGTTCTATTGAATCAAAACCAACCAGAAACGGATTTCATTTAGATCTCCATCCCTACTACCTTCCATCATAAAGCCCTGAAACACATGGATGGGGTTTCCACGCTGTTCGGCATTTTCCTCTTTTTTTCGCCAACTTCAAGTTCCGGGCACCCTGAAAAACAAACAAAAAACACGGCCCACCCCACGAAACCCACCCCACGAAACCCACCGTTTTCTCGATCGAGCCCCGCGCGCCCTCAACGGATCCCAGGAGAAGCTCCGCTTGGTGTGCCGCATCCGCCGCGCGGCGCGAGAGCTTCTGCCCAGCACGGCGGTGTCGCCCTTGCCCAGCGCCCGGGAGAGGCTGGGGCGGGGGGGGGTGTTTGGATACGCAAAGTCCAACTAAAACGTGTTTTTTTCTTAAGAAAATGGTTTGTCCAACAGAAACATGGCTCTTTAAACAAAGACTTCTGTTTTTGTCCAAGGTGTTTTAGTAGCTGAGATCTTTTTAAGGCTAGTTTGTTTGGACATAGTTGGGTTCCACTGGCCTAGATTTAATTTATTACCCATAAAGAACACCTATGCCGGGTGGGTCGGCAAAATTGATGAGCTCATGACCAGCAACCCCCACCGACGTTTGTTGACCCACACACCCTCTTTTCATTGACGGAAGGGGATACGGCAAAATGCGGCTGAACAAAAGGGTCCCCATGTGGGTCTGTCTCAAAATGGCACTGTTGGTGCCCGTGTGTAATTACCCTGAGTTGGGAAACCTAAAGGAGGTTTTGTTGACAGCTCTATAGACATAGTCTAAGAGGTTGACTCAGCCCTTGTGGCCAAGGTGGGTGAAAGATCAACGGTCCAGAGACCGAGTGCGAGCATGAACCCGCAGGGAAGTTTGACAATTCGGAAGCCACGGGTTGGTCAACTCGGTTTGGCCATTCTTCACGGTTTCCCCTATTTCCCCTTTTTGGAACCTCCAAAGGTTGCACTTTCAATAGAGACCACCAGCAACTTGAAACTTTTGAAGGGGAAGTCCAACGACTTTGGTGGCAAAAGGGCTGGAACCCGATAGGTTGTGGCAAGAGCTGCCCAAGCATCGGGCGCTGTGAAGCGGAGCTACCACCGAGACCCCACTGGGGGTTGGCTGGCTGCCGCTTCCGTCGCAATGAGTTGGCGCCCAGAAGGTGCTTTAGCAACTTCCCGAGGGAGCGACTGCGCTGAAGGTGAACTTTGTGGAAGGAGTAGCGGTGGTGCACGCTGAAGATGCTAGGCAAACTGTGAGGTTCAGCACGAAGCAGCACTTCTGACACTTCGCTGATGCGCAAGTCGATTTTGTGGATAATGATATTGATAAATTGCTTTATTGTTTTGTTTCTTCCGCATGATTGAGCCCTTTGTTTTTCTCGATTGATAGCTTCAGCTGAGGTGACACGGGCTGCGATTTGCCCGGCAGGGAGAGCGTTACTGCGACGCGCAGTCTGAATCTCGAATGTAGAATCCCGTCAGTTTGGCAACGCGCCGTTGCGAGGCGTTGCGCATCTGTCGCAAGCCACACATCTCGCTCCCCAAGGACAACGAAGTGCGCCGATTCGAGGTGATCAATTCCTCAGCGCTGAGGGGTGTATTCAGTGGGTTCGCAGAAGAGAAAGCCAGAAGTCGGGCCGGAGCTGAGCACAATGCTTTGCATCCTGGCATGCGTCGTGAAGTGTGGTTTTGGCGCTGTCTTGACAAAAGAGTTGCGCGGGCACGGCATTTGATCGGCTGAGTAGGTCAGCCACCATTGCAAGCATTGAATATCATGCCAGTTCAGAATCATCAAGACGGGCCATTGCGAATGCCAGATAGTGCATTCAGGCAAATGCAGTTATTTCCTCAAGCCTTCTCAAGATATTCTGCCCGTGTATGCTCACTCCCTTGTTGGATGCAATGGCTGTACCAAGGATAGCATCGCCAGTGTCTATGCGACGAGCTGAGGACGAGATTGAGGAGTCGCCGATCACAGGTTTATGCCTTATGAGCTGATCTGCGATGTCCGACTTCAGGGATTCGTCTATGTGGATTTGCTGTTTGGGAAGAATCACACACACACAGTCTTTATGGCCATGTAGCTGGCGCAATGTTTCGGGGAATTCAAGGACTGGACTTGCGATGCGTAAGTTGTTGTCCATGTGTTTGCCGGTCCCTACACGTACCGGACTGAACTTGATGCTCAAGTACTTACGACGTACTTACATTCCACACCTCTTCAAGGATCAAACTGGCAGCACCATTCGCACAATATATCTGCGGCATACCATGGCTTGTGAGATTCAGATACTGATTCATATTGCTAGTTAGTAAGTCAGGCATCGTGCAAGTCAGTCCCATCTCCCCGGCGATGTTGCCTGGAGCTCCCAGGCAGCTCTGCGGTGGTCTTGGCCGATGCCTTCGCCCGCACTGCGTGCCACGAGGGCGGGGGTCCGGATGGATTCGACAGCCACGTGCTTCATGTCTTTCATATGAGTGCGCCTTGTTTCTGAGGGTCCTTTTTTTGGGGTTGGGTGAAAGCGAAAGGAAAAGCAAATCCATATTCAGAGGTTGCAGCCCCCCTCCACTAATTGGCCCACCCCCCGGCAGTATTAACAAGGTCCAAGGCCTTATTTGGGTCAAACAGGGCAAGGGGCTGGGCTGGGCTGGGGGGTTTGGATCTCTGGGGTGGATTTTCCATAGCCCTTGAAACGAGGTACCCTCCAAAGACCCATGTATTCATTCAGAGACAGAGCCTGAGCTGACTCTGAGTGCCGTAGAGGCTATCATGGGCCATCAAAGGCCAGAGTCGTCCCATGGCTCCTGGCCCTCATGGCCCTCGCGGCTCGTTTGTTGGAGTCCTGAAGCGTTGTACTTCTGTCATTTAGTTGGTCCTACCTGCGGAAATGGCCGCGACCACGACGGGGGTGTCCCGAGATTGGGTAGAAGAGGAAGCCACAAGTAGCCAACTAATTACAGGGGTCCTCCATTTTGGGAAATATCTTGAAGCATTCAGGTAGGCTGTAGAGACCTTAAGGGCTCAGAGCAATACAACTCTTCACGTACTGTCGCGTGATACAGTCACAGTTTGTTGACATGGCGTATTCCCTTCAAGCACCCGTTTGTGGTTTCAAGGGGGTCATTTCCATATTCCCGACTGCGAGAACCACATGAGAGCGACAAAGGAAGCTGTGGCAGACATGCACGTGGCACAAAGCAACTGTTCGGAGAGGACATCCTTGTTTTTGGATGTTGTTGGTTGGGTGACTGGTTGGTTGTTGTTGTTGGTTGTTGGTTGTTGGATGGATGTTGTTGGTTGGATGTTGTTGGTTGGATGTTGTTGGTCTCCATTTTCCCGAAGCAGTTTGTGGTTTCAATGAACTCCAGCGCAAGGCGCTCAAGTCCTCAGCCTGGTGTGCCTGAGCACGCCCCCCACCTTGCCCCTCTCTCCGGTGGAGGCGCGGGCGGGCTCCCGCTTCCATTTCGCACCACTTTGAAACCATGGGAAGCCATTGGTTGTTGGTATTTCCAGGGGAATCATCATTCCAGGATTGCTTTGGTGGCGCAGGATTTCGTCCATCCACAGTATGGAATGTCCAACAAGTTTGGATCTTGATAGCTTGATAGCTGGACAGAGTTATCTCCCGAGGGCTTGTGTTTCGGACCACCATGACATTGATACAATTTGCCCCAGGTGCGTTCATCGATGAGCATTACGTGGAGCAAACAACAAGAGGTATTGCGGGGAGGGCTGGCCACTTGCTGAGCAACATAGAATCCGATAATTCCACCCGTTTCCCTAAAAGAGTAAGGCTCTTTAGAGCATGGGGCTTAGGCGAAGCAGGAGGTTGGGATCCCATGAGTGTCAAACACCAGCGACTCGACTCTGCGCGCTGTATCACTCCACTGCACGGTCTGGCTGGGCGCAGGGAGCTGTTGTCTTTGCAGGTGAACTTGTTCTGCTGGCTCCCAGCATACATTGACCTTTGTAGAGAACGGCATGAGTTTGGTGGTCTGATTTTCAATTACTCAAAGCTAGCAACTGTTGGGATCGGCTCCGCGCGCTGGTAGTCCCACAAGCTCCGCCCGCAAGCGTGTGTGATCAACGCACATGCATGAGGCAGGGGAGTGCAATGCGATTTGCATTGTTGTCTTGTCCTTGTATTTGAACTCGTGCCATCTAAAAAGTGCAGCTCAAAAAAAGCGACATGCCATGAAAGGTCACTTCCCCTTGGGTTTCCTGGACCTAAACATGCCTGGTTCTGACTCTTGTTGTTTTTTGGATGTGTCAGAACAACACGTATACATTTAGCAGTTGATTGCAACCCCAGCAAGAGTCACATGAAGCCATAATCAACGATTGATTCACCCATTTAGGGGTTAGTACCAAGTCGAACAGGAACATTTACATTATTCCCTGTCTTCAACAATCCTCCCGAAAGTAATCTGATGTCTTTTTCAAATGATGGTAGTCTTCCAAAACCCTTTTAAGCACTTCCATGATTGCTGGAGGAGGGTACTCTTTTGGGATCATTTAGCGGCCAAAGGGAAACCAAACGGAAACCAAGGGTAAAACAAAGAAAATCAAAGGGAAGCCAAAGGGAAGCCAAAGGGAAACCAAAGGGAAACCACAGCAATTTTGGGGTGTCCCCCTAGTCTTTTATATCGACCCTGGAGCCGCTTGGACAGGTGATGCAGTTCACGCAGTGTCTCGGCCTGCTGGGACGGGACTCCTTCCACGACCCCGCGGTGTGGGACGCTCAGCCCGTTTTCGCTCCGGGCCTTGGGAATAAATACGAGTGTACTGTGGCTTCCCAGTCCTTGACGTCCTGGATGCTGGTCACTTTGGGGAAGACTGTTTTAGTGGCGAAGAACAGAGGCAGGACTTGTTTTGGCCAATCTAGGAAGTGAGGCTTGAGACTGCCAAGATTGACTCGGGTGGACATAGGCAGCCTAGGAACAAAGCGATGTAAGTTGTGATTAGCCATGTGTTGGAAGCATCATCGGGGGTGTCGCGTTAGTGACAATCGCGTGATGGTTGGCTCAAGTTCAGATCCGTCGCGACCTCGGATGAGCGTCGCCGGGTCCCCACGTCGATCACCCACGTGTCGGAGGAGAAAGAGACTTCGGCCCGGGGCTGGTTGGTGGGGAGTGCTCGTGCGGTTCATCGTCGACCCAGGTTGCGGGCATCCTTTTTCCCTTTTGGTTTGGATTGTGGTTGTTTTGTCACTTGTGTGTGGTAAACCCTGATCTTTGGGACCGGGGCCTTTCTTTTGTGGCTTGTTTACACCAACTTTCCCAATTGCCTGGGCACAGGGACTTTCCTGCGTGCTTGTGACCTACGACTACGAGCTCAATGACGTCGACCCCGTGAAGCTCCAGGAGCGTCGTGGATGAGGAGGCCATCCTAGGTGGCCCCCGACTAGGCGAAGGTGTGCCGCGCTTCATCTGCGGGCTTTGAGGAGACTTCGGCAGGTGGTGGTCGCATGGGTGATGCTCCCGATAGGGACACACCTCGCGAGCGCGGCAGGTTTGTGGATGACAGTGATGATCGATTGTTCCGTCAGGTTACTGATGATGAGCAATCCGAGCGAGCTCGCTCCGATACGGGCGGCTCCGTTTTGAGCTCAGGTCAGGACGAGGACGATTTGCGATGAACATTGGGAGGCCGTCAGGCGGGTTCGAGGATCTGTTCGGCGCCAGATTGAGGAAGGTAACCGTGCGGCTGCGCTGGATGCGATCAATCGGATCATGGAGAGGTGCGTCGCGGAGAGCAGGGCTGATGCCACGGGTTCAAGGCCGGTGTCAATACACTCTTGGAGGCCCTGGAGGCGCAGCTGCAGACCTTGGAGGGATGATGACCGCGATCGGAGAAGATCGGAGGGATCGCCGCGATGTCCTGTCGAGTGAGAAGGACAGGGAGATGAGAGGCTCGGAGGAGGGCGCACCAAGATCGTGATTGGACTGCGCGCGGGGCAGACGCGACCGGAGGAGGCGTGATGACAGCCGATAGGCTGTGTCACGAGAGGGGTGGCCGATAGGCTTAATCCTCGTCCTCCGACGGTCAGCGCTGGGTGGTGCTCATGCCCAAGCCGCACCGCTGAGGCGTGTCAATCATGCTCCTTCTGGACCGCAGCTGGGCTGCCGGTGAAGATCACTCTGGAGTTGTGCGAGTGAGAGGGGATGTGGATAAGTGGAGGTTACTCCCATTCCATAAATTAATCTAATTTTGGGTGACACGTGGGAGGAAGCACATCTTGCCGATGGGCGAGGGTGCTCTCAACTCTTTTGTTGAACATCTACATGGCTTCTGATAAGAATAAAACTCGCATCTTTGATGCAAACAGTGGTGACCCATTGTCATCACGTGGACCTGTTCACTGGGTGTTGGACAGCGTTACCCGGAAATTAATGCCCGGGATGTCGCGCAACTGCCTATGTGGGTTGGCTCCACCGCTGATGGCGGTAGTGTCCTGCTGTTTGCGGATGAATGTGAGCTTTGATTCCTATCAGTAAATGGCACGCTCCATCCGTCAAAGACTCCTCATGAGGGGTGTGTGATTAGCCATGTTTTGGAAGCATCGTCGGCTGTGTCGCGTTAGTGACAATCCCGTGATGTTTGGCTCAAGTTCAGATCCGTCGCGACCTCGGATGAGCGTCGCCGGGTCCCCACGTCGATCACCCACGTGTCGGAGGAGAAAGGGACTTCGGCCCGGGGCTGGTTGGTGGGGAGTGCTCGCGCGGTTCATCGTCGACCCAGGTTGCGGGCATCCTTTTCCCTTTTGGTTTGGATTGTGGTTGTTTGGTCACTTGTGTGTGGGAAACCCTGATCTTTGGACCGGGGGTTGGTTTCTTGTTTTGGGGCCTTTCTTTTGTGGCCTGTTTACCACAACTTGTCCGATTGCCCGGGCACAGGTCCGTGCCCGAATCACATAAGTAAATCGGTGCAAGCACGAAGGCTTTGGTGGTAAATTTCGGTCGTCGCAGGCTTTTTTAGAATCGCAACTTGCAAGATGGGAAGACCCTGGTGCTCCTTTTGTGGCAAGGACATAGGTTCGGGATGTTCCCACTGACGTGAACCAAATGCTTTCGGGGTGTTGGAGCCCCGCTGCTCACTTCCGGCTCAGGCGCGGTTTTTTGCTGATGCGGCTCCAGCAGGTGGCGCCAGGACCCCCAGATGGATCAAATCGAAACGGGTCGGAGACAACAACTCGGTGCTCTGTTTGCCTAGAGGAAAACGCCATTTAATTGTTGGGTCCCCTTCTTCTCGGAGTTTTCAAGAGCCAGGAAGAAAAAACCCCTTTGGTGGGGGGTCCCCCCTATTTTGACACGAGCACAAAGCTTGGGCGAAGCGCAGCGCCAGATCAAGGAGTCGGGATAACGTGGAAGACTCTCGTTTTGAACGGGGCACCATGGTGTTCCTTCCTGACCCTTGACCAAGCTGTCGTTTTCAGAATTGAGGGGTCTATTTTGAGATGGTGAGTTATTCAACATATCAAGACCGTTTGTTGATGTGTGATGTTTCCCTTTGGACCTCCGCGTTCAACGGATTCCCATGTTTAGGGCCCGCAGATGTCAATATGTTCAATGGATTGGCTTTGATTTAGTTACCCGCCAATATAGAAGCCATCGCGCCTTCGTCAAAGCCCATCGTGTTCTAGCTGTACTTTCCCCACTCTTTCTAGGGGTCCTTCTGAGAATTACACCAGAAGATGGGTGCAGTTTTCGAAACGGATTGACTGAGAATCAAGTACCAAACTTTAGAACTCTCAGCCTCGACCTCTTCGTGCCGTTGTTGTTGACAGGAATGGATTTGCTCAAGCTCCGGCTGTTCATGGTGATGTGTTTTACAAGACCTTGCAAAGCTGCCCAACAAAGAGAAACATGTTGTTCAGGAAAGTAGCATTACACAGATATACAAAGATGATGTTTTGCAGCAGAGGCAATTTAGAGTTGCAACTGGTATCACATGTTTCAAAATCCAAAGGGTTGCGAGAGGCTTGCGAAGAGAAAGGGGGGTGTTGACATTCAAGAATTCCCTTCCCCAAAATCGCTTCTCCATGTTGGCCTTGGATATTGGATGCTTGGTGGAGAAAGGAGCCTTTAGCGTTACATTTAGTTTCTCTCACCCGAGCATTTGATAGTTGCATGATTGTTCACAGGCGTACAATGGCCACCAATGAGTTGCAATTTGCTGCGAACAACATGGCTCCTGAATCCAGTCCAGACATGTGCCACCTGCCTGTTTTAGAAAGAAGCGCTAATTGATTGTTACTCACCATATTTCGATGTTTGATTAGTGGCGTCTGGAACCCAAACCATTGACACTGAGCCCAAACTTCCATAAGCCCAGGGATTGAAGCGATTTTCCATGTCTGGAAAAGCCGTAGAAGGCGGATGACTTTTGGAGAGGGCTTGTCCCTAAATTGCGCTGCCCCCTTCTTTCGATACCGATCCATTACTGGACCCGGGGGTTTTCCGTCAATGTGGGCATGGCTGCAAGGGTGACAGCGGTTTGTTTTAAATATGTCATGTCTTGCCACACTTGGAATCAAATTGGTTGAGTTCCTTTCGGTTAGACAGATTCCGCCACCTTCAGGGAGCAAGCATCGCACCTGAGGCCGCAGATGGATGGCCAAAGTCTGGCCGTGTGCGCCAAAGAGCTTGCGCACGCAGGCGCCAGACGTGCTGCAGATGGGATGCCAGGGTCTTGATAAGTGGCCTTTAAGGGGGTCTCTATTCTATTTTTGTTCAGAGTGAAGCCAATTTGACAGTTGATGCGCCATAGACATTTTGGCGGCTGGATGAGCAGGGCAAAATTATGTTCGGATGATATTATTATGTGTTGTTGTTTCCGCTTGTTGCAACACTGCTGCTGGAAGCCTCTTGAAGTTCCACATGGAACATAGCGGTGTACCTTTGTTGGATGCACCAGGCAGTTGTCTTGGTTGCTGATGTTGGCTGGCTGGCTTAAGTTTTTTGCTGTTTGCTAGCGGTTGGCAGGTTGTAGCTAGCTGGTTGCCGTTGGCTCGTTGCTGTTGTTGATGTTCTAGGTTCCCCAGTAGTGCCCTTTTACCCTTTTTTGGGGGAGGGTTCCCCCACTAAAATCGACTACAGAAAAAAGAAACGGTACCCTTATTCTAGCCTCTCAAATCTGGAGGACCTAGTGTTCTGTTTCTTTTGTTTTTGGACGATTCGATTCCCAGCTTTGTGCTTGGCAGGCCTCTACTCGCCTGACCTCAGCCATGAGATCCAGCGCCAACTTGCAGGCCGCACGCCAAGCGCCGCACGTCCGGCGGGTTTACTGGGCCAGGAGGGAGCCTTCTGAAGTGTTTGTCCCTTTGTGTTTGTGGCAGGCGTTTCCCCGGCTGCATGCTTGCTTGTTTGTTTGCTTCTTTGTTTGTTTGTTTGTTTGTTTGTTTGTTTGTTTGTTTGTTTGTTTGTTTGTTTGTTTGTTTGACTGTGTTTGTGTGTGTGTGTGTGTGTCTTCTGTTGGAGGGTACCATCTATGGGTGCTTGCCCATCTTTTAAGGGGGGCTGGAAAGCAGTGCACGTTCAATGCTCGCCGCTTCCTGGACCCGGTTCTAGGGGTTGTCTCGGAAGGAAAAGTAGCAATCACAAAAGGAAGTCGGAGGTCCTACTTTTGCCATACGGCTATGGAAATTCCAGCATTCTGCGCGCGCTCGCGCGTTTGAAGCGATAGTTGGAAAGGGAACTATAAAGGCACCCCCGCAACCAAAAGTGGAGGGAAGTGTTTGGCATGCCCACAGCCAATCAATTTGAAGGGGATTGCCTGAGGTGGATTTAGAATTCCAATGTCAGTGGGGTTCATGTGGCAATTTAGAAGTTGCAATTGAAAGCTGCAAATAATAGGACTACATCATAAAACATAAATGTATTGAACACTGTGTGTGCCTGCCAGCATCCCAAAGACCCCCGGCCAGTCTTGCATGATGTTGAAGGGGAACCAAGCGTGAACCCGCGATTTTTCAGGGCCCCCGGACTTATTTGTTAGGACACCAAGATCCAAAGTTGCAACCGGCAAAATTGACCGTGGTTGGGGAGAGGGGAGGCGGGATGGGAGAGGGGTTCCTTTGAAGCCGTCGAACGTAGTCTTGCAGATTGTCCTTGAATAAAGCTGAACAATCCACCAAACTAAATAATAAACTACGCGTAAATCTGGATTTGTTTGAGACACCGAAATAGTTTGTGGCATTTCCAAACATGTGTTTGACCTGGATCACCTCCTGGAAATGTATCCCAAAGGGTCACTTCCTGGAAATGCATCAAGATACAGAGCAAAGCAGGTTTGCTTCGTTTGAAGAAATATTGCCAAGCCATCCATACGAAAAACCATTCACAGGTAGTGCCCCTTTGAAAGTAATGGTTTCAAACAGATCCCAAGAAATGCGATTCTAATGTAGCACTGCCGCTTTTCTAGCAGTATTGCCACGATTCCTGGAAATGGCTCAACAATCAAACCAATGCAGAAGTAGTATTGCCAGACTTCCTGGAACCTTATCCAGTATCGCTAAACTTCCTGAACCCGAACCCCAAAATAATTTGCCAGTTCGAATTCTCTTCTGGACAACACATTTGAGGCCTACATTGGGGGGCCCTTTACTCAGAGGTGAACATTATTGTTGCCGTTCCCCAAAGCAAACCGGATGGATGTGGTACACATGACAAGAAGGCGCAGGTTGCAACCCAAAGGGGCTTAAACCAACGCATCCTTTTTGGAAGGCAAGGCCTCCCAGTCGCTAACATGGGATCAGCATGGAGGTTCCAAGCAAATTCCTAGATTCAAGTCGTTTTGGCGTTGGAGATCCGCCGGTTGTTTGTTCGTTGATTGGACAACTTCCCTTAGGACCGACCGACCCCCGGCTTTCACACCACACTTCCCCGTTTCGGGAGTGCTGGACGGCGCCGGGCGCCGGGCGGCGCCGGGCGCCGGGCGCCCAGGCAACCCATGGTCCTTCACCGCCGGGGATTTGCAGTGCAGCTCGACTGAACCTCTCGGGCTACAAGGGGCTCAAGGAATGTTGATGTCGCAGCTGGACATTGACGTATCAAATGTTCAGAGTTGGAACCCAAAAAGGTGATTGGTGGACATGGATCCCCACGTAAATGGTGTTCACCCAAGACCGCCATGCGCTCAGGAGTTGGAGCATTGGTTGGAGTACTGCAATCTGCTCCAATTATAGCAAGCTCGGGGGGGGGGAATGGAGATCACTGATGCACAGCGGCCCCGCCCCTTCCCCCAAGACAAGTTGAGGGGCGGCCCAATAGCAAGCAAAAAACACTAGAACAATTTGTGGGGTCAGAGGTCCCCCCGCAAGCAGTCTCTAACTAAGTGCTTGTTAGTACTGGTTTAGTATTGGTTTTGTATTGGTCTGGTATTGTAGTGTTTCCTTTTTGCTGGCTTTGCATGGATTTAGACTTGGTTCAGTATCGGTTTGGCACTGCTAGGTGCTGCCTTGCTACTTATTCAGCAATATTCAGTGTTGGATTGAATATGTTTGCATATGTTTGCATAGGTGTAATTTTCCTGGTGCTTAGTATCGGTCCTGTTCTGTCCTTTTCGGTCCCCTTCGGTCATTTTCGGTCCTCTTCGGTTCTCTTGGGTCCTCTTTGATTAGTATTGGTTAGTGTTGCTGGGTCGTCGGATGTTTAATTCGTCATGAGTTGCGCGTTGGACTTGGGACTTGCTTAGTGCTGCCTTACTCAAGAGCAGTCCTTTGGTCGTGCAGCAGGCTACCCATGTACCCGCCTTTTTCATAGAGCCCTATGGACAGAGACAGGGCAGAGGGAGGGATAGCTGGGCGAAGGGTTAGTGACGATTTTGGGGCTATGTGAAGAATGTCGGTTGTATTGCGTAAGTTGTGTGGGGAACGAATAATTGTGGGATATGAATTCTTGAATCCTGTAATCTTTCATTAATCGACCATCCGCGTTAGACCAAAACATGTATGGCCAAATTGTGCTTCGATTCTGGTCGTACAAACCGGGCTGCTGGATCTTAATTCTGCCCACTACAAGACAGAATAAGTAGTTCTCGATGTTGTATTGCCGTTGGGTAAACCAACTGCGTGGCCTGTTTGCTGAAGCTGCGTAGCCCCTACGGCTCACCGAACTCACGCGTGTGTCCTTTTTTGTTCTGCTGCAATCATATATAGGATTGACAGCGAGCTTAGATTGTTTGATCTTGGGAGGTACTTGGCGGTATGCCATGCAAGGTACAAAATGGAGAACCTGGTTGTCTATCAGAACCGGGGTTTGCACAGGCAACAACTTCGCTGTGTTGGACTTTTGTTCTCAGGATTACCAGTATGATGCAAGAGAGCAGTGTGGCGCTGTTCCATTCTAGTCATGCCTGAATTTTAGGCTGTTTAGTTATGGTGACAGGAGTCTCCAAGATCAGCAGTTCAATCGGCAGACATCGCTGCCCTTTTGAGTTCGCGAACCTGAAGTTGTTGGCTGAGACGTGGTCTGTCTTCGTCTTTTAGCAAAGGCTGCGGCTCCTTCAGAAGGAGAAATTGGGCACAGCAGAAACTACTTACATGTGCGCCCAAGTTTGTAAGTGGTTAGCACTAGCCGCAGGGTTCGAGTCACTCAGATGGGCTACAACCTAGGTTGCGAGCAACTTACCAACTTGGCTGAGCACCCACATGTTCGAGAGGGACATGTCCCCCTTTTTAGGCTCCAGGTTGCCAACAAGCCGTACAGGCCAACCAGGTGTGCCTTCTTTTTGAGGGAGCCCGTTTTGGGGCCGTCTTCTTGAAGGGAGTTTAAACAGACCCTTTTCTTGGCGGTTCCCAGCCGTCGCCTTGGTTTTTTCCCAACTTTTGGATGTCAGGACGGCCCAGTTCTCAGGTCCCAAGACGCAAGTTTTGCTTTGTTAGCTTTATGTTGGCAAGCCCCAAGCCGCAATCCCCCTGGGGTGCTGGGTGTCCGTGTCTCAGGTCTTTTGCCGCACTTCAAGACCTGGAAAGTGGCCCAGGCGAGGAGCAATCAAGTGGCCCCGAAGGGCAGAGAAATGGGTGTGGCTTTTGTTTTTAAGGAAACCCCCTGTTTAATTGGTGGAAAGGGGAAGGAACAACACCAGATTTGTTGTGTTGTTGTTGTTGTGGTTGTTTCTTTTTGGGAGGGGTCCCAAGAATCGACAACCCCACATGAGAATTACATAATAATCTGTACAACAACTGTGTACATACACTGCGGACATAGAGCAAACTAAACCACCAGAGTCCATGGCCCCTTGATTTGACCTCCCTTGTAATCTTGTCTTCTGGACCAGCAAGGGATTTGACTTTACGAGGCCAAAACCTGACGTGGCGTAAGTAGATTGCTTCGGTCGGCACTTTAAGTTGCCCCCCCTCCCTGCATAGGAAAGTGCTAGTGGCAGCTTTTGCTCCAGGGACTGACGAGAAAATGCCCGCAACGTAGTGGTAGCAAACTGCACCAGCACGCTTCAAGCATCCGCCAAGATTACGTAGCCCCGGTAGGGTAAATCAACACGAGCTGCCGTATTCTGTTGCTTGACGGTTTCAAGGAACCAACAGACAAACACACCACACTTACTGTTTCCAATTCTCAGAAGCCATGGCTTTTCAGGATCACGGAATGCAGGGTTGGTGGCAAGGGAGGCGGCCCAAAGTGCAAGGATTTGCCAAGCCCCCGTTCCACTCCTCAGGTCTGCTTGACCCCAAGTCTCATTTGGCCGGAAGACTGCGAGTAAACAAGCAAGAAAAATGAAAGCTGTCAGACTGTCAAACAAGAAAGACCAAACACACATACATACAAACAATCAAACAGGCAGGCAGGCAGGCAGGCAGGCAGGCAGGCAGGCAGGCAGGCAGGCAGGCAGGCAGGCAGGCAGGCAGGCAGGCAGGCAGGCAGGCAGGCAGGCAGGCAGGCAGGCAGGCAGGCAGGCAGGCAGGCAGGCAGGCAGGCAGGCAGGCAGGCTGGCAGGCAGGCAGGCAGGCAGGCAGGCAGGCAGGCAGGCAGGCAGGCAGACAAACACACGGACAGACAGTTAGTCAGTCAGACAGACAGACAGTCACACAGACAAAGACAAAGACAAAGACAAAGACAAGCAAAGAAACAATCAAGCGAGACGCCAACAGTAGTCAAACAATTAGGGTGCCAAACTGCGTCAGACACGGTTCTAACAGTAGTTGATTAAAGCACATGTTTTAAGCGCGGCCAAGCTTCAAGGTTCCAAAAGCGATTAAACACCCCTTGCGTTTCAGAAGTCGCCCCAGAAGATGTTCAAAGAAGAGCCGGTGTTCTTCCCTGCCAGTTGCAGAAGAGGGCCTTCCACTCGCTGGGCAATCGCTTTGCAGAGCACGCAGAACTTCTCAGCCCTGATCAGGAGAGGGCGCTGTGGAAGGGAAAGAAGCTCGCAGGGTCAACATTCGCCGGGAAGTCGATTGTTGCGGTAAACGCAAAGTTTAGTTTTTCCCGCGATTTCATCTACTTGTATGGTAGATAGCCATGGGAGCCACCGTTTGAACATTTCCAAACACGAATTGGCCAGTTACTTCTAGTGGCTGCTTGGGAGCGACTCAAGTAAGCAAGCGTAAGTAAGCAGTCCCTCAACGAGGTTGGATTCCTTAAGCTGCTGGTTGGTTTGCAGCTGTGTTGCCAGTGGCCAGCCTTCAACATCAGCCAGGGTGGATATCCAGGCTGCTGTTGGGTGTGTTTAGGGTTGCCGTCGGGTAGGTTTGGGTTGGCGTGCTGATTTGCAACCCTAAAGCCACGGCTAAACCAGCCGACCGGGGTTGTTAAACAGAAAAGCATGGTCAGGGTTTGCAACATCGCGGACTCATGGGGACTTACATTGCCATTGTGAGTTTTCCGTGAGCACAAGGAGCATGAGACAAATTAACATTTAATCCCAGTGGCTTGGCGCAATTCTCACGGCATGCTGGCCTCAGCACCAGGAACAGCCAAGGAAACAATGTGGGTCTGAATCTAAATAGCAAACCACCATTTTGGGGGTCCCCATGCCCATGTCCCTTTCTGACCTCGTTTGTTGGAGTCCATTTTGAGAAGCCTTCAAAAGGGGTGTCGGGGTGTCGTTTTAAAGGAACTTGTACCCTGTCTAAGTTGGCTTTAGATTCAGATGAACCAAAATGAGAGAAGCGCCAGTTTGCAGGTCCCCCTTCGAGAAGCCAAACAGACCGCTTCAGCCTTTCGGGTTCTTTTCCTTCACATTCCAGGCCCTGGAGGTCATCGAGACCATTACAAACGTGGGCAACGTCCACGAGGCGAAACCCAAAAAAACGCAGGGGATGGACAGGGTGATGGATGGCATCAGCTGGATTTTGGCAAGGGGATGACAGCACCCGAAACTGTTTCGAAGGGGTTTTGGAATTCGCATTCCAGGCGATTGCGGACAGAAGTTCTGCAAGAAGCGAACTGCTACCTTGACAAGTTTGGAATGATCCACGCTTTGGATCTTGCTGATTTCAAGCTTGCGAATTTGTGAATGGAATAGTTTTGATCAACCCTTTGAAGGCACACTTTAAGAAGCATTACAACGATCACACGCAAGGGATCCAACACCAGTCCCCACACGCAGGGGTTGCGGAAGAACAAAGGACGGCCCCCTAAGCGGACAAGCTATTTGCCAGAACGCAGAAGCCTTGCACAAAAAGGGCCTTAGCCAATACGCATACTAATTCGGCTGAGGCATTCCCGAAATTGAAGCAGCTTGGTTCATGTTCTTGAGAGAACTCGGGAGGCGCCCGGGCGAGGGCTCTGCGACGCCTCGTGTTCATCGATTGTTTGGGGGCATTCAATTGTTTGGGTCGGTATGAAACGAACGGGGTCCTTACATTTCAGGATGGCGGTGGAACATGGCGAGGATCGGGCTTTAGAGCCAGAGAAATCCCCAGTTTTGGTACTTGTCACAGAAAGGGGTTCTTTTTTCCAGAATCTCCAGACGGCGAACAGAAGGATTTGCTGTTGCCCCGGCTGTGCTCCGGGAGGTGAACGGCTGCGTCTCCCTGTCTTGGAAACTCACAATCTTAAGGACCTTCCCAGAAGAGCCTCACTCGGAGTAGTATGAAAGTATGGAACGCAGTTCCGAGCAGCCGTAAAGTCATAAGGTGATACCTTCAGAGAGTCATACTTGCAGAGCCTTCTGGGTACAGCTCTTAGAGGTGGCGCTGCAGACCCTCTTCCTGCGGCTCTTGTTGGAGCGCTCCTTCACAGATCTCCCGGGCGCGTGGGCCCCCGGTACGGAAAAATGACGGGCGCTTTGTTTGAGATTTGTTGAGTCCCAAGCGTAGGAACCAAGTTTGAAACGGCATCAACCGGCGCTGTTGTGTTCTTTTCTGTTGGGGGGGAGCCCCTTGAAACTCGGGTGGAGTTGGTTGGTAGACCAAAATCAATACTGATCCTCCCAGGCTCCCCAAGGACAATTGTCTCCCCGGAATGATTTTCAGTGGCCAAGAATAATTCCACCGTTAAACGGTCCTGGGAAGCAAAGCCAAGCAAACGTCCTGTGGAACATAAAAATTGATCCCCTGCAAACGTGGGGCGTAGGGTGAAATGGGTCTATCTTTTCAAAGGTTGGACCCCCGAAATGGTGAGTTGTCCTTTTAGGTTCCCTTTAAGACCCACCAAAAGGGGCGGCTTAGGGGGAGTACCATCAAAAAAACACCAAAATTATGTAATTGATCCTGGTGTTTGCGTGTATTCCGCTTTCATTTGGAAGGACTCAACGGATGTTGCGAAAGTTTGCGCGGGGCTGTGAGGCTGAGGCATTTGCATTGAGGCTGAACCTACCCACCTGAGCTGAGAGTTTTGAGGTCCGTCAGGTTTTCCTTTCATTTCGGGCCAATCACCTCGAGCTGCTTTTGGCCAGGGTCAGCACGCCAACGACAACTCATGGAACATCAAAGCTTGGTTTCCAGCCAGGAGGGTTTCGACTGGCCGACATCAGTTGCGCTGAGCTGTTGGATGGGAGCGTTCAAACAAAACATGGGATGAACGATCCCTGGTCTGACCCCTTGAAGGCTCCTTGCTCGGGGATCGCTTTTTTCAGGGCTTAGTGCAGGATTCCTTGTATTTCATTGACAGCTTTGCAGCTTGTAGGGACATGACCCGGCCCACTAGTGCCATTTGTCCCACACTTAGCGTTCACGACCAATCCTTCCTTATGTCAGCTTGTGATCTCCCTTGTGTCATTCCACGGATTTACATGTGCTCCTTGACTTGGATTAAAAAAAGGAGGTCCCTTCAAAGTGACAAGGCCGTAGGGATGGGACTCACAGTTTGGTAGACCACATCAGTGCCCCCGCAACCAAACCGCTCCAATCGCTGCATGGCAGGCTGGCATTGCGCGGCTTGCAGCATCCATGTCCAAGGCGTGGCTCAAAGCAGACGTGTAATTTGTGTCGTTTCAGCCTTTCAGCTGTAGCCGGATCCGAATGGTCCAGGAAGAAGCCATCAAAATGATGGGAGGATAGCTTACCACAGGAATAAAGGCTTTCAGTTGGCGTTTGGTGGTTTCTGAGGATCGCATCGGGTTGTTTGGTGTTGTTTGCTGGGCACCGTTTCAGGTGCAGCACTATCATACCGGCCTGCTGCGGGAGCTGATCTTCTACATTCAGGAGGAGCCGGGAGCTCCAGATATCGGCCAGGCAACCGGCGGCAGTGACATGGTCTAGCCTGACCATGTTTGTTTTTGTAGGGAATCCTTGAAAAGGATGTCCTGTCCCTCAAAGGCCGTTGCGTTCCCAAGAATTGGCATTTTGAGACAACTGAGTCGATCGCTTTTGAGGGTACTTTGTTTTTACGTTGGCTTCAAGGGAAGCCCAAAGAAAACCCACTATTTTTCATGGGGCCCGTTTTGGGATGCTTTTAAAGGAAACACGCCAAAAATGGGTGTTTCCCAATTTAGACCTCCATTGGGTCGCGACACCGAGGCCCCAAGTGCTGAAGTCCTGGGGCCCCAAAGACCTCTCCGGGTGCCTCCGGAGCTTTGGCCTGGCGCCGGTGCGAGTGCCTGGGGCCGTAGACAGGGTGGGCGGAGGGGCCGGGGGGGGGGGAGCACTTGGGTTTGACGCCGGGGTTTCACCAAGTGGATTGGTTCTCCCTTGCGTTCCCGGAGCAAAATAAATCAGCTCCGTTCTGGCCATGTGTCTTTTTGGTTGCGTTTGTTTTCTTTTATTTGTCTGGCTTTTTTGCAGCTCCCCGTTCCTGAGTGTCTCTGTGATGACAGTGTGTGTGTGTGATGGGTTTGATGCTGGATTCTTGATCCGAAGCATGTTGTGTGTGAGAGAGGAGAGGCAAGCCGACCAAAAGATAGGTGGGAGTTTATGCTGAGAGGCTGCGGGCTGGCCCAGGTTGAACCCCTCCTTTTCTCCAGCTCGTGCGGTTTTCGTAGCGGAATCTGAAGAACATTCTGAGAAAGCCAATCTTGACTCAAACTGCATCATGTTTTCCGATTTGTTATGAAGGTTCTCAAGGCCTATGGCTCAAAATATCTCTTCCTTACCCTCTTTGAAGGCCGTGAAAGACACTGAAGGCTTCATTTCCCAGAACATCCTCAATCAATCAACCACAACCCTCATGACAAGCCCAGTGGATCCATTTACCTGTATAGCAGGTAGCCAAGGGAATCAACCTTTTAAATACCAAAAGACAAATCCCGGCTACCTGCTAGAGGGGTAACTGAGATCCACTGAGAAGGACAGAACAATTGAACACTCATTTGACTGACTGCTTGGCATTGAGCCGAGAAATTGAGGCCCCGCGCCATGCAAGTGATGCTTGGGTGCCGCTACTCTGCAGGGAACCCAAGCCGTTGATGAGTTCGACGGGCTGTGGGGCCAGGTGGCGCGCTGTGCCCCCCCCCCAAAAAAAAAAAGCAAGAAAAGGTACCCCCAAGAGCTGGCTAGGGGTGGAGAAGCTTTACTAAGATTCGTCTATGTTGGGGGTCTTTCGGGTGGTGGTGGTTGGCTTGCGTGGATGTTTGAGCCTTCCGGATGTTTTAAGTTGGTATGTGTTCATGATGGGCCGACGAGAGAGGTTAAAAGCGACATGTTGTGAAAGGGCTGAAACTCATCCTGGAGATCCCAAACGAGGCAGCAAAGAGATGTTGGGCAACTGGGGAGATGGGATCCTTGAGCTGCCGGCCGAAAGAATTTGCATGGGGAGATTGACTCGACACTGTGACCTGCCGGGGCAGAGACGATGCCAAAATTCCTCAGGCACGATTGCCTATACCAATCAGTGGTTCTTCTTTTGGTGGGGGATCAATGATCATAGGGATTCGTTTGATTAGCCGTTGTCTGGAAGCCACAGTTCGCATTGATGGGGATGGCCTGGAGGGCTTTGGTTGGCGCCTCGGCCCCAGACTGGCCCCAAAAAGCACATTGCAGCCTGCCCGTCCAGCTTCAGGCCGTTCCGGAGTTACGAAGTTGCGCGGAAACAACTGGCCGAAGGTAGATATTTTGAGTAGACTTTGATAAGTCGCTGCCAACCCCAAAAGAGGTCAGTGACAATGGGCTCACCTTGGTTTTCCTTCAATCGACCCCAAAGGTGTACGGAGAGTCTTAAAGCCTGCCCCTTTGAGGCAACTCAGTAACACGCTCAACATGGAAGTTCAAAGGCCATCTTTCCTGTGCACGGGAACACCCATGGCAAGATTGCCAGGCGCTGTTGCCGGAAATGACCAATACGGACCTCAAGGACTTGTTCGAAATCAGCGGCGCGGAGCCCAAGCCCCAGGGCTCTTCGGGCATGCAAAGGGCAGGCGAGAAATTCTGGGAACGGCGTCCTTTGGAACCGCTTCGCCTCGCTTTGTTTTTTTGGGGTTGCTCCAAAGATCGAGAAGGTGCACCATACACTCCCTCTACCCCTTACACGAGTTTGTAGGTCACATGACTTTCAATCGCCTAAACTTGAACCCCCCCCACCTTAAAGCGAACTTACTTCGTAAAATTATGGACAACCTTTCTGGGAAGACCATCTTAGTGGCAAACAGCCAGTCTGGACTTTTGCCAATCGACTCAAGTGCGGCAATGAATGTATTTGGGTGTGTCTCAAATAGAGGAACCCCAAAGCCACTGGTTTCCTCTTGGTTTCTCTTCAAAAACGAACTAAAAAAGCGTACCCTCAAAACAGACAGACACACATACTGTGGATGAACGAAATCTTGCACCAGTTTGGACCCATGGTTGAAACCATTGTTTGTTGGTATGTATTTTGGGGAATTGCATCCTTCCAGGTTTCTTGTAGAAGGGTATGTTTGATTGTTTTTTGTGGTGGAAACCAAAAAGCACCCCCCCCCCCAACCCCACACCCCCCAAACCCCCCACCTCCCAACCCCCCCCCCCACCCCCCGAAAACATCCCCCCGCAACTCCGCGGATGTCGGGAGGTTGGCACCCGGAGCTGCTCCGGAGCGTCGCGCTGCGCGGAACTCGGGCGCTGGAGGCGAAGCTGCGAGCGGCCGCGCCGGAGCCTGGAGCTCCGGGGAATGGGCGCCGAGGGCGAGGGCCGTGAGGGGATACCCCAAAAAAGCAGCCCATAGGATCAAACGCCATTTGGGTGTGGTGATACTGAGTGGATGGTTATTGTTAAAAAAAAGTTCAATGGAATGGGGGTCCCTTCCAATGGAGAATCCTTGAACCAAAAACGCACTTGATGAATACTTGGACAATTGGTTGAATTGGGGTTGATACTGGGGATGATTCCAAAATCCACTTTGCACCACCGTTCAGGAACTCAAGGGAATGGTTTGGTTTCAACCATGGTTTCGGTGCAGGATGTCGTCCATCCACAGCAAGACTCGCCCAATTTGGGTGTGTCGTTTTTTAGGAGACCCCCCTTTTGCGTTTGTGCGGTGGTTTGAAAGGGGAACCCAGAGGGAAAGCCACCCATTTTGTAGGCCAACAAAGAGACACACCCATTTCCTCCATGTCCACGGGAACCTGATGTTGCTTCAGCTTCTTTTTTTTCTATGGGTTGGTACCCTCATTTCGTGAAGCACGCCTGGGGATTTGGAGGTCGGGGATTTTCAAGTGGGACATGCGCTGCAAACGGGAGGAAACAAGAGAGGGACGGTGGTAAGAAGATGTATTGCAACGGTTGCCTCTTGACCTCCCCCTTGTCGGTTGTTCAAAGTAAAGTGACCCCTGAAAGTGTAGACTCCCTTTTCAAGGCATGTTTCTGGGTAGTTACCTTCATTCATCCATCCCACGCAGAGGTCCAGAAGTATCTCCTGCTTGATGTGTCGATCATTGTGCACCCAATTCACATCACTGCTCAAAATGGATCGTGGGCGTTCCAAGGCAGCGGTCGACTTAATGGTTTGTCTTGGGGAAAGCAACGGCCCCCTTTGATTTGAGGATTTCAACACTTGAGTGAGATAGCACAACCTCCCCAGTTCGGCCTGTGTGTGTCTGGCCGCGAAAACGTGTATCCATGTCTTTTCGTCGGTTATCTCTTGGCAGTGGTCACAGTGAAAAGGCAAATCCCAATGCTGTCTCTGTCCGGGTGTATTCATTGTCCTGATTCTTGGCCTGTCTTGAAGGGTTGCAGGTGGCCAACCCCGTAAAATATAGAGCATATATCTCTTCTTGACATACGCCTTCACAGCCTTCAGATCAACCCCGATTGGTCAGCTCAGGGCTGTGACCAACAATGAAAGGGCTTAAAGCGCCCTTTGATTTTTTGAGGGTGTAACAAATCGCAGCCCGACAAGTGACTCTCTCCCTCTCTCCAAGATGGGGCCCACGCGCCTGTGTGGACGCGGTGCTGGCGCTCGTGTTGGCCGCCGACGTGGGGAAGGCTGGATGCAAGAAGACGCCACTCCGACTAACATAGGCACCTATGGGAAGGTACGTTGAAGATCAATCAAATGTTTGTTTTCGGAGTTGGGAGGGAGGGTGGGACATTGTTTGCACTGACTGAACGAGTTCCTTCCAAGCCTGCGGCACGAGGCACACAAAAAATTATCAAAAGGGCAGCACGGGAAGCCGTGGCCCTCCATCCCCTGCGCTTAGCTTGGGCAGGTGTTGCGTAGGCTGTTCCTAGTTCGGAGCAGCCCTGAGGGCATGCATAAATCGCACCCATGTCTGGATTGCTTTTGGCAAAACTGTTGAGAACCAAGTTGAAACAAGTGCCAGCTATATATATATATATATATGATCCACCAAACCGACTCAAAAGGAAACCGACAACGACTGGGATGAAGGATGGTGTGCAAGAATGTTCACATATATGTGCAACGTGGTGGTATCTTCTTTTTGTTGGTCACTACTCCATGTGCTTGTCAAAATCATGGGCCAAGCGGCCAAGAGATGTGTTGACCACCAGTCTACCAGTCTGGTCACAACAATAAATTTGAAGAACTGTGATCTGAAAAGCACGCTGTGTAGCCTGCGCAATCTTGGCCATCTCCCTAATTGAGTGTTGTGACTAGTTGTACTCAGACAACCCCGCATGGAGCCTTGCAAACACATGTGAGCTCTCAGTGCACGAGCATGGTGAGAAAGTATGCTAACAGGTTTAGACTCCTCATCCAAGCCGAGTTCAGCAATTTCCTTGAGAGCTAAGAGAGCCGCTAGGATTTGCACACGTTTGGAAGAGAGTCGAGAATGGGGAAATGACAAAGACCCCAGGGATGTCCATCTTTAATTGAACTAGCGAGGGGTGAGCAGAATGCGCAAGCCTCCAATCTTGAGAAAACCAACCAGTAAAGCAGACCTAAAGGATCCTGCGTCACTGTTGAGAACAGGGACCCACCGGACATGTTCAGAAAAGGGACCCCGAGTTTAGTCAAGATGGGATTCACCCCCAGTTGGTCTGAGAATGACGTTCTTGAAATTGCGTCAGCCTGGATTTTTGTTCACGTGGCAAGGCTCCCATGGCAAACTGCCGCGATTGCGCCTGCGGCGCAGGCGATCGGATGCTCTCGTGGTCGGGTCGAATGAGATGTCCATGGTGAGAGAAAGAAGGAACAGGGATGAAGACAGGGATGAGCATTCATAGATGCCCTTTTGATTGGTTAGTTTGGTTGGAAATAGATAAGTGCCACTGGTTTAGATTGGGTTTTTGCTCCGTCTGCCAGTCTATATTTTCAAAGGTCACCTATGGGGATGAGGAAATGCGTTTAGGCCATGGGCAAAAATAATGCGGCCTCACAGGGAATTGGCTTGTCACCTCCTCAGATGCAGGATCCTTTGTCCCCGTTTGTAAAGGGACACCGAGGGTAAGTTGGTAGAAGAAACTCCACCCATCTCCCAAACACTTCAGAGGACATTTGACAAAAGATATCAAACAAGCTTCAGAAAGAAATCCTGGGGTTCAGAAGCTCTCCGCCATTTGCCCTCATTCCCACCATAGTATGGCCAACTGCTGTGTGTACTTGACACATGCAAGACTCAAGGATATTTGTGTTCATGGGTCAAAATTACAGCACCAGGGGAGCGCAGGCTTTAGTTACTAGGGTTCCAAAATGGATACCCATTTTTGACCCACAGCCATTTAAGGCTGCCGAAGGCGCTGGCCAGAAGCCGCACGGACCCAGTTTCGTTTGCGCCAGGCGCCCCCCAGTTAGCGCGGAGCGCTTTCCGTACGGAGCAGCCGGAGTGGCAGCTGCAGGCGGGAGGGGACTAATACGGTCGATGGTTGCAAAATCCGTTCGCACCACGAAATGAAGCCATGTTTGAAACCGTTGTTTGTTGGGTTTTACACGGGAGTCAAAGGGTTTGAGGGTTGTTGAACGGTGCAAAGTGGAGTTCGTCCATCCACAGTATCAACCCCTTATCAATCAGTCCCCCAAGTATTAATCAAGTTCCCCCCAGTTCTGCGATAAATTTCCATTGGAAAGGGACCCCCGCAAAAATGGCTTGGGTGAAGTGAGGGCTAGATAATTACACACCGACTCCCGGTGCCATCCTGAAGCCTGACTAACTAAATATGAACTTTTAAGTAGCCACCCATTGCAATTATTTTGGCCCATATTATGGGTGTCCTTGTGCCATTATTCTTGTTTGTTGGAGTTGAACGGAAGCCACATCGGAATGCATGCCGCCACAACCATATCTGGGATCTCTGTTGATTTGCTTTCCATGTGTTTTGCCATGGGTTGCGCGGCAATAGCTGAAGTATTTTGTAGTTGACAATATGTGAAAACAAGGCATTTGGGCTGATTGACCTATTTCCGACGCCCTTGTACCTTCCTGTACCTCCCTACCTTTGGAGTTTGGCGTCAATTCGAGGATTGGGAAAGAGGAAACTCGTCCAAAGAACTCTCACAGCAACCATCTTCCGTGCCAATTTGAGCGATATTTTCCGTCAGGTCGAAAGGAGGGAAACGGGATGGAACCTGGACCTTTTTGAGGGGAGCAACAATGTGAGCGGATCCAACGGCAAAACCTGGGAAAAGCCATCCTGGGCAATGGCTTGATGGGCAATGTCCATCATAGGCGCCCCTTTTCAGGGCCCACCAACAGGGTTCCTCTTGGTGTCATAGACATATGCATATTGATTCATGAACTTTCACGTGCGAAAGGTGTGTCTTGATTTTCCCCAGTTCGTGCTTGCCGGGAAGGCAACGACGAGTGTGTTGTGGCAATTCAGTCGAGATGTCACGCCTGACCTGACACCGCAAGCAGCAGACCCTGTGTTCTTTTTTATCGTCTTATTGTGTTGACCAAAAAGGGGGTGGGTTGTTGTTGTTGTTGTTGTTGTTGTTGTTGTTGTTGTTGTTGTTGTTGTTGTTGTTGTTGTTGTTGTTGTTGTTGTTGTTGTTGTTGTTGTGTGTGTGTGTGTGTGTGTGTGTTGTGTCGTGTGTGTGTTGTCGTGTGTCGTGTTGTTGTTGTTGTTGTTGTTGTTGTTGTTGTTGTTGTTGTTGTTGTTGTTGTTGTTGTTGTTGTTGTTGTTGTTGTTGTTGTTGTTGTTGTTGTTGTTGTTGTTGTTGTTGTTGTTGTTGTTGTTGTTGTTGTTGTTGTTGTTGTTGTTGTTGTTGTTGTTGTTGTTGTTGTTGTTGTTGTTGGTTGTCGTTGTCGTTGTCGTTGTCGTTGTCGTTGTCGTTGTCGTTGTCGTTGTCGTTGTCGTTGTCGTTGTCGTTGTTGTCGTTGTCGTTGTCGTTGTCGTTGTCGTTGTCGTTGTCGTTGTCGTTGTCGTTGTCGTTGTCGTTGTCGTTGTTGTTGTTGTTGTTGTTGTTGTTGTTGTTGTTGTTGTTGTTGTTGTTGTTGTTGTTGTTGTTGTTGTTGTTGTTGTTGTTGTTGTTGTTGTTGTTGTTGTTGTTGTTGTTGTTGTTGTTGTTGTTGTTGTTGTTGTTGTTGTTGTTGTTGTTGTTGTTGTTGTTGTTGTTGTTGTTGTTGTTGTTGTTGTTGTTGTTGTTGTTGTTGTTGTTGTTGTTGTTGTTGTTGTTGTTGTTGTTGTTGTTGTTGTTGTTGTTGTTGTTGTTGTTGTTGTTGTTGTTGTTGTTGTTGTTGTTGTTGTTGTTGTTGTTGTTGTTGTTGTTGTTGTTGTTGTTGTTGTTGTTGTTGTTGTTGTTGTTGTTGTTGTTGTTGTTGTTGTTGTTGTTGTTGTTGTTGTTGTTGTTGTTGTTGTTGTTGTTGTTGTTGTTGTTGTTGTTGTTGTTGTGTTGTTGTTGTTGTTGTTGTTGTTGTTGTTGTTGTTGTTGTTGTTGTTGTTGTTGTTGTTGTTGTTGTTGTTGTTGTTGTTGTTGTTGTTGTTGTTGTTGTTGTTGTTGTTGTTGTTGTTGTTGTTGTTGTTGTTGTTGTTGTTGTTGTTGTTGTTGCGGGACCCTTGTGACTCCACTCCCCCCGTGTGAAAGGGAACATACATGTGAACTGGAGTTCTAACTTCTGACCCTTTCATTTTGATCCACCATATGAGACATGCTTTATGATGCACTCCCCCTTCCACATGTTGGGTGTTTCTCAAAATGATGGATCCCTTTTTTTTTTTAAGGGAGATCAAAGGATACCAACCATCTTAGGGGGGACCACTATATTGAGAAACTTGCATGTATATAACTTTTAGGAGCCTTAGAATCAACTCTTTTTGGTCAACCCCCAGGTGGTGCTCCGGGCAGCAAGGAACTTCAAGCAGCGGGGCGGAAGGAAGCAGACGGTAGCCGGAGGTCTTAGAGCATGGATCTCTTTGCCGGGCTGGACGTGATGAGTGGTCAAGGGAATCCACGTTAAAGTGAGCAACAATAGTCATAGCGATGGGGATCGACCGCTTTGGTGTCACAGAAAGTGGCCCAAGTTGTGTGCGTTCTCCACGTTGTTCCCTGCTCCAAGTGGGGATGGGTGCTAAATAGCCCACACCTTTGTTTGATTTTCAAGTTCTGAACGCAGGGTCTGAATGGACCCATTCTGGGTCCTGGGGCTGCGGAGAAAAACGGAACCCGTGGTGCACTGTGCCTATGCTGACGATCCATGACACGTCAAACGGGATGGATTTGCGGAAAACGAGGGTCAATTCAACCGTCTTCGGCACCTTAGGGAACTTGGCAACCAAAGCCAAAGCACTAGGTTTCCTATACTTTGGATTGTCCCAGACCCCATTGAGCGAACGGCCGCTTGAGGCTGAGACCTGCTTCCGCGTCCCGAAAGCATCACAGTGCCACCCTGCAAGAGTCTTCGCCACAAAAGGCTTGTGAGGGTTTCCAGAAGGAGCTGGCAATCGCGAGATCGCGAGAAACAGAGGTGTCAATTGCAGGATGTCGAGGGTTCATTTGAGGCAAGGCACGGGCAACCCTCGAATCCCCAGCTGGCGAAGGCCGGATGGATGCCTTCACCGCGTTACACCGTTCAACAGACGAGTTTGTCAGGTAGGAAAGAAACCAGTACCCTTCCTGCCACTAACATGGCCCCGGGGTGGGGGAGGGGGTTCTGGAAGGTCAATTTGTTCTTGGAGGGACTCCTTGTCAGGTGTCATGTTGGGAGAGAGAGGGTACACTCCCTTCCGGCCTGCCATATGGGCGCTGAGGCACGGCCAGAAGTGCCGCTGCGTGGGCGAAGCTCGCAGCACCTGTTCCTGCCAGAGGAGCTTCCTCTTTTTTGGGCATAGTCGCTGGTTGTGTTTATTTGCATGTATTCTGCGTGTGTCTCTTAGGTGTTGATGCTATAGTCTGCGTGTGTTATTTCTGTGTTTGCTTGTGTTGTGTTGGGTTACGTTGTTTGTATTGTATGTTGCCTGAGTTTCTTTGTGTGTGTGTGCTTGCATGCGCTATTCTGTATGATGGCACATGCGCAGAGCTATGTGGGCACGCTGTGACGCGTGCACTTCCTTGATTTGTTTGGTTTTCCGTTCCGAGTTCGGAGCCCGTGGAACCCATGGAAATGGAACCCATGGAACCCATGGAACCCATTCAATTGGTCCAACCCGAATCCCATCTTGGGTCGTGGCCAATTCGGCGGAAAGAAACCCAGGAGGCGCCGCCCTTGCAGGTGGGGCCCAGCGCCTGTCAGGCGCGCTTGTGGACAGCCGGAGTTCCGGAAAAGGAAGGGAGACATAGGCCTCAAAATCCGACCCCATGGGAAAGCATAGGCCTTCTAAGGGAAAACAATCTTTAAACCACTTGAGGCAAGACATAGGGAGCCTGCGAAATGTGAAGGGTTGCTGCCGCATTCCGCTTGCCGCTCCTGGCTCTCTTGAAACTTGAGAGCCCTGCAAAAGGACATTGACTCAACTAACATTGAACCTCACTGGGTCCCGAAAGGCCATTGTCCTCATGGGATGGTTGAGAAGTCGAGCAAACTCCTGGCACAATGAAGCTTGTTATTTGAACTACCGTGAATTGGGGCAAATCCGGAAGCATTTGTGTTGATTTCGACTAATCCAGCTTCAAGTATGGGAATCATGTTTTTTCCACAATGGGTGTTTCATCGATTTCCCTCCCGACCCGATAGAGGGCTCCCTCAAGGAGCACAAGCACGCAGGGGTTCTCAAGAAGGACCTCCCTTGGGATGGTTTCAAAGGGGAGCCAAAAGGAAAAACACCCTCACTCCCTGAGTTCTTCACTTTGGCACTTTTTAGTAAGATCGTTTGGGTGGCAAACAAAAAGTTCGAACCAATCTTTTGGCCAATCCTCTCAAGTGAGAAAACCCCTGACAGTCGCTGTCCTCATGTTTCTCTTCTGTTTGCTCCATCTAAAAGAGGCTTCCCCATTTAAAGCAGGCAACCAAAAGCGTGCGACCCTTTTGAAACCAGAAGGAACATAGCTGGTTGCCTACGATCCACTGGGTGTTTAAAATTAAAGTTCCCCCAAGGAACGATTTGCCACGTGGTGCTCCTTTGAGACACACGGTCCACCGGTCCACCCAGATTCGGTCCACCGAGGCGCAGTGGGCTTTGCCCATGGGCCGCCGGAGTCGGCAGCCAAAGCCAGAGGTTCGGCTGATCGCCATGGTCAGCGAGGCGCTGATTTGGCTTGGGTTGCATGGGTCCCTATGTGGCCATGTGTGTGTGTGTCCCTACGATTGGACCGTCACCCAAAAAATCAACGGGCAAGCTGTGAGCACTCACCTGAGTAATGTGATCTGCTATTTGGCACTAGCTGCAATGGGCACGTATGCGGCGGACGACTACTTTTGGATGGCACGAAGCGTACCGCTGCAGCACTCGATAAGCTACAGCCCGGTCATGACATTTGCCGAGTTGGAGGACAGCAAGTACTTTCCAAGGGGATCTGTACTCAACAAGGAATTCGTTGCAAATGTCGTGACTTTTTGTGACTTGGGGCTTGGCCCCCATTGCCATTGCCACCCAATGACGGCAGCGCTGTACCGTCCACCTCTTCTCTCTGGAGAAAAAGTTGAGGAGCAATGCTGACCGTGTGATCGCTACTTTCAAGGCCTTCGATTCAGCACTGGCAGCATGGCGGCAGCGGCCCTGATCGCCAGGGCCTTTGAGACTCGCAAGTCTGACACCGCTGCTGATACCCCCTCTGGCGCGTCTCGAAGGGATGTTGCTGCATTGAGAAAGGAGGCATCCTTCCCGAATTTCGGTTTTTGGGGTCCGGCGCTTACAGATGGCGCTGAAGGGCTGCGAGAAGCAGAAGATCCGCGATTCTATGGACCTGGAAGCGAGGGGGAGTGGAGCAAGACAGACGGTACCGCTGTCAGCCCTTAGGTTTCTGCAAGTGCCGTCGGACACGAGGGGGGGCGCTACTGATGCTGAGGTGCGGTTGCTTCACTTCGAGTTCCTGCGACTGCACTTCATTCGACGGACGCGGGAATTACTCCTGCGCGGGAGGATCGCTTCGAGGGTGCTTCGTCTGCGAGCCGTTTCATATCTGCTGCAGACGCGCTCCAATTCCAGCACGCATGGGGCAGCGACCTTGAACGATCTGCGCTAAAAGAAGCTGGGGGAAAACTACTGGCGGGGAAAACCACCACCCCTGCGGAAAGCCAAGCGCTCCAGTACTTGAAAGCTTGCATTTCTTACCAAAGGGAATGGACGTGTTGGAGGTGGTGCAACAAGAGCTGGCCGTAGCTGGAAGGGAGAGCGAGGAATGGTACGCCCTCAACCTTCCGAACAAGGCGACATCTCAGATAGAGGACTCCAACACGGCGCGTGCAGTCAGATCCAACCTGCAAGCTGTGGAGCGGTGGAACCAGTTGAAGGCAGAGATTCCGAAGATAGTGCAGGGGGTGGGGGTACAGCCTCAGGCCGGAGACATTCCGGCCATCGTGAGCAGCCAATTCACGAATCAATCGAAAACTGCGTGAGCTCACGGCAATTGTTGGTAGCCGGTGCTCCGCTGCCCGAGCATACCGACCTCGTGGTGCAAGCGGAGATGAACCGCTGGCTGACCAGGACGTGGAGAATCTTAACGACGAGGGAACTTCTTCCTCAAGCGGATGCCTGGGAGCGTACGTTTCGTGCTCTACCTCTATTCCGGCAGGCGTCAGACAGGGGATTTCACTGACTTGGCGGAGCACCTCAGCGTCATGCCTCACCTACAAACAAGGTCATTACTCCCGATGAATCCGATTTGGATTTTTTGGTCCTGCCATCCAAGCCTGTTGGAGGCATCACCTGCGGCAAGGTCGCGCCGCCCTGCGGGACTTGGTCCCGTGAGCGGTGGCGATTCAAGACCGTGCGGATGCAGGACCTCGTCCTGTTCGGGATGCGGCAAACCAGCCTCAGGCCCGCACTGCCAACTCCAGGTTGTTTTGAGCTTCATGCTTATTGCTTGGAGGGTTGGAGCAGTCGGAGTCCTGGAAAATCCGGCCGAACCGTTCCTACCGTCGGCTCTGTCATGACCCTGGCTGCGGCATCTCGAGTTGTCCAGGTTTCTGATCAAGCAGCATGCCTTTGAAAGGGGTATTTTCGAAGCCCACGCACTTCATGTGATTGTCCACGGGAAGGACTGCTCCGCACACTCGTCGGGAAAGAGGACCAGCGGCGCGTTCGTTACCCTGACGGGGGTGACGACGCTTTTGCCCTTTTCGTCGACGGGCTGCATGCTGGTGCGGCCAGTCGGAAGCTGTAATGGGGCCCGACTATGCCGGCTGAGCCGGCTGGCCGGAATTGATTTTGGTCGGCGAAGTTTGACGTTCTCCATCTTCGCACGCTGACAGTGTGGGCAATCGGGGTTCTTCGGGAGATGCGTGAGCATATGGCGGAGCGTCTTAGCATCTGCACGCCATTCGGCTTCAGTGCGCAGCCCGGAGAGGAAGTTTATCTCGACAATGTCGCCATCCTCTCCCTCCCCAGGGTCAGCTATCGCCCTCACCCCCCTGTTCGGCCTCTCCGGGAAGACCGGAGAGGAAGAGCAACGGTCTCGCATTTAACCTGGAAGTACGTTTCACCCGTCCAAGGGACATCAGATGCTATCGCATGCTGATCTCTTTCGGACAACTCCCACAGATCATCAACCAACACCTCATGGGTAGCCCCATTACGGTGAATGATCGTCTTCCTGTAATTGTTCAGTTGATCGACCCTAACGGGACAATCACCATTAGTCGGCACAAACTTCGCCCTGCGCGGAAGTCGGTGCTCCTTTACGACATGACCTGCTCGCTCAGTCCGCCAGGTATCCTGAGACTTACTCTCGCACGCTAACACGGGCTCGCACATTGGCACCTCGTTGGCCTCAACTCCACGATATGCCACGCCAGGGGCCGGCATAGCGGGAAGTGGCTCAGCGTCATCAAGAGTAGGAGAAACGAACTGGGTGTCACCATGAGGAAGGTACGGCACGTTGTTGATGACATCCAATGTCACTGCGCGACCCGAAGGACACGTAAGTGTGGGCATACAGCCTGCACTCCATGCAAACGAGTACCCCATGTCCATACAGCGCTTTCCGACAGAGATCATAAATGGAGTAGATTCAAGGACGTGTGCCTCAATCACCTCGTCCAGGTTGCCAACATCAGCATCAACGCGACCAGCAGTGCGAGTCGCCCCGCTAGCAGTGTGCAACGCGTGAGTATGTCCGCCTATGGCAATCAGGGCCCTATCGGGTCCTTTCAGGTCACCAAGACCGACCAGGTCCATTGGGCAACCAGTATCTACCAGCCATCTCACCCCGCTGTATCCAACAGGTGCAGCAAATTTCTGAGTGTACTTCGGCTTTCGGACAACACGATGTCCCCGTACATCTCCAGGGTTGGTGTCGATGTCGTCATCATTGTCTAAGAGCACTTGGGCATGAACAGCCACAGCTCTTATCAGAGCACTCTGAACCTCCCAAGCGATTCTCTTGCGAGATGGGAACTTGATCGCATTAGGATGGCTGTATCCAGCCTCTCTGCAGCGACTAACAACCCTGCCCGTGTTGTCACTTTCAATTGAAACAACAAACACATCTGGGAGATCAGGGATCTTGACCCTCAGAGGTTCCCTATCGGGACCCTGCTGAAAGTACTTGCTCCTCCAGGACAACGCAATCTCCGCATCGTCACAGTACCAAAACACTGTCCTGATGTTAGTCCGTCTTGGGAGCCTCCTGAATAGGGTTGCTCGACGATCACTGGAGTTCACCCCGATATCCTCAATCACGGTCCCATTTGCATCAACGGTCCTTCTCCAAATGACTTGGTCCCACTTGGGACCTCCACCTGTAGTACCGGAGAAGAACAACGCGTTACGCTCACTTTTCTCCCAACTGCTAACGCAAGGAGACAACCCGGTGCAGACCCACCGGTAGCTGGGTTGCCCACGTAACGGGACACGCCACAACAACACGGTTTGCCTCAGGGTTACGGCCCGCCCCACCTAAAAATCCGTCAATCCTTGAGCGGGGCTGTCAAGACGCCTCGCTTCCCTATCGGGGGGACTGGGCGTAGGTGACCTAGGGGCCTCCTCCTCTTCAACCGAGAAACAAAGAAAGCATGTAACTACTCCGTGAGGGTCTTTTGAAACTCGCATTCAACATGGCAGGGTCACAGAAATGTCCACTCGGTTGACCCAGATGCGATGCCTTGACGTAGTGCTGCCTATTTCCTTGCGGCTCCATGGGCAACGTGTCATGAGCAGAGGGGTGGGAAAAGTCCTCGGTTTGGCTTTGGTGCATACGTGTGGCTAACCTTAAGATCTCCGAACATGGCCAGAAAAGCCCAACATAACACTGAGGGGTTTAGAAGCATCACGGGTTGACAGTGCAGGATCAAGCTGAACCACCTGGCACCAGTTTGTTTTTCCTTTTTGCTGGGTTCCCCGTTCAAAAATCGAGTCAATGTAAAAAAATATATCCAGCCTTCCTTGGTCACTGGCCGATCGCCGACCTGCCTCGCAGCATCCGGCCAAAGCCGACCGGAATCGAATTCACCACTCGCTTGCGGCCATGGCTGGATGGCTGGTGCTGGCCGTCCTCTGCCATGCGCGCGCGGAGATGGTGCATTTTAAGCTGGGGTACCCGGACGCTGGACTGCACATATGGGTCAAAATTAACCCACCGGGGGGCCGCAGGTTTTAGTCCATGGTTCCATTTACCAGGATTCCTTTTCTGCTACCTATTTTTGACCCATGGCCACATTGCCAGACTTAACCAAACACCTTGCTCCTTCCCCTTGTGGGTTTCTTTTGGTTTCTCGTCCAGCCAAAAAAACACAAACTGTTTGCAGGGGGTCTTAGCCTCTGACTCTGAGAAACGAGCACTTAATCGCGGACTGTTTGGATGGGAGGGAGGGAAGATTTGAGGACCCTTTAGGAAGTAGGATGACTAAGGTTCCTCATCCCTTTTCTATTGCAGCAGAGCGGAAGGCCCACAAGATGTTTGAATTGATGTGCCCCTTTTTTGCCATTGCCGATAGAATTTGACACGCGTTCTCGCTTGCTTGGTTTTCATCTGTTGCTCGGTACGACAATGGGCTTCTTTGCGTGAGTTGTTGGATACATTTTTGTAACATCTCTTGTAACCTTGTTTGTGGGAGGTAGATCAATAAAGGCGGGGCATGGTTATTTTCCAACTCTTTAGTGGGAGACCACTCAAATACGGGGTGGGGGGTCTTTTGCGAACGCCAACAAAATGAACGGGAGCTCGGTGCGCGGGGGCAAAATGCGGCCAGAGGTGGTGCAGGGTTTTGTCCGTCAAACGTATCTCCCACGGCACATCAACCTGAGCATGCCGCAACGGTCGGATGGCACCCGAGTTGTTTAGTGGCGCCGCTTTCCAGTTTGGTTTGGTGAATTCCCTTCTTGTCGCTTGGAAATGGATGGCGCTGGTTTAGATGGTTTATTCCATTTGCCAGGGCCATCTATTTTTCCAAAAGGTCACCTATATTCTGACCATGATGTGAAAGTGGTCGACCCAAAGAAACACACAGTTTCCCCTTTTCTTCCTTTCGGGTCGCTGGCTAGCATTTGACAAGGCAACGAGCAAGGTACTGCCACATCGCGAGCACAAAAGATGCCATTTGTGGCATCTCAGTGCTAGTAGGTGGTTCTACTACCTGGGCAACACATATACAAATTTTGTATATGGGTGTGTTGGTTTTTACGGGACCCCCGAAAATGGTAGATTGTCCTCTTGGTTTCCCTTTGACACCACCAAACATTTATGGTTACCCTCAGAAAAGACACACCCATATTGGACCTGTATCCACGCCAAGAGTTGCGTGTTGGGCCAGGACGAAGTGTCCAGCTCCGGCTTGCACGTGGCCGGTAGCTTCAATGCCTGGGATCCGGCGGCCACGAAGCTCGCGCCACATTTTGGTTTGGGGCCCGTCGTGCAACGAGAGAAACGAAGAGGCGCCTGGAGGTTTGTAGCCAAGCAAGTGGTTGGCCACCTGGGTCCTGGTGTTCGTTGCCAAGTGAGTATGTGTTAAGCCACCTGGGTGAGAAAGCCCACTAATGACCGGGTTGACCTCCACGAAAAAGTAGGCTGTGTGGGTTAGAACCCAGGGTACTGACAACTCGGATCCCTGCGGATGGTGCTTGAAAGGAGGCTATACTGGAAACCATTTTTGTTGGTGCCCCCAGTTGCGACGGTCTCGTTTTAATTGCCCAACATAGATAGGTGTCCTTGGTTCAGCCTTTGCTGCATCTTCCTTGTGATTTGCCTAATTACCAGGTCCACACGGCCCCTCTTCAGGTTTGCTTGAAGCTGGAGACGTTCCAAATTGTTTGGATCTCCTTGGATTGTGTTTTGGGAAGCCAAACGAAAATAGACAAGCAATTTGCTGGGGAGGCATCTTTTTCAGGAAGTACCCAGATATATTTTTTGCAAATGACTTCGTTTGATGTCAACCTCGTTTTGAACTTGCCCCGTTGGAAGATGCTCCTGTGTTTCGTGCTCCGCAGATTTATTCAGCAGTCAGACCAACACTTTCACTTTTGCAGAAAGGGTTTTACTCTTCCGGAGTGTCCTTTTTCCCTCTTGCTGCTCTGCACTAAGCATGGCAAGCTCATTTTGGGGGTAAAGTGAGATCACCCATCGTGAATGCTGCTGAAAGATGTTGCAATCAGATAGGCGAAATGCTATAGCGCAGCCACACTCACACACATACACATTTTGCACCCCTTGTGATTGTCTTGGAGGTATGCCAAACTAGTCCCACAAAAACAGGCAAGTGGACAACCTAATCCCAGAGCCTCTGGGGGTCTTTTTTACCGATTGGAGTTGCTACCAGGAATCTCACGGACAGTGGGCTGGGCTACTACGAGGCCGTCTTGGACTTGCCCCCAGGCCCCGTGATTCTGCGGGACATGGGCCATAGGTCAAGAAAAGCTGAGTTCACCTGGGGCAAAACGAGTCACCGGTTTCAAACGTCTCCAGGAGATTCCCTGTGAATGGAGGGAAGTTTGCCGGTCCCAGTGTGTTTTTGGGCGGCTCTGGGTGAAGCTAGTGATATTGAAGCCTTGGTTTCTGGTTGATCCGAACACACCAACCTTGTCGAACCTTGTGGAAAAGACGGCAGTTCCCTGACGAGTACAAGGCACATGCTGGTGGTCAGCTTGACCCAACCCAGTTTTTCAGTCAAGCTGAGGGAATGAACTCATGAGACTTGGGGCCTGAACAGCTGGAGGGGTGGACGAATCAAAGTTTTAGTGAAGCTCCAAGTGGCGGAGTGCAATGCGGAAAATGATTTGGATGCTCCACCACTGTGTCCCCTGGTTGCTTTGTGAATACTCCCCTACGTTTTGGTGTACCCTTTGCGTACGTGTTTACACTCGTATGGTGGATCCAGTCTCGTAGCGAGGCAGTTTGAGTATAGCGAGGCCGGAAGCAGAGAGCTCGTGTTTCTTGGGAGATGTCACGTCATGTTTCATGTTTGGCCAAGACTCCCGGTTTACTTGGGGTGTAGTCCATATAGACTCCCAAGCAAAATCGAGTCGCAAATTCATGACATCAGGAGATTGAACATGTCACTTGCACGGGTGGGAGAGAGTGTTGGTTGTGCATGACCACGACAATTTCTTACATTGGGTAAAGGCCGTGAATCGACAAGCGCAAACATCTTAGAAGACAATTTAGTCAAATTTAGTCCGCAACGCGAGCACGTACGCAGGGGTCTCCAAGCGAAGGCATATTGCAAGTTTAGTTTCATACCGATGCAACACCAAAGTAAGGTGCACCCTTGAATGTCAGTTATGGTGAATGGCGGGTATGGTAGTTGACGCAGGTTGCTTCTTGTTGTGTGAAATCAGTTGCCCAACCGTGCTGAAAAGGAGCAGTCTTATCCTTGCAACAAGGTTCCTCACCAAAAGGGTAAGCTTTATGAACCTCGAAAGGGGTTGAGATAAGTAAAGTCTCGAGAACCACAGCTTGGGCCCTGCCACCTCTTTTATTTCCAAATCCAACAAGATTGTCCCTTTGGTTCTCTTTGGGTTGGTTGTAAAGCGAAAATGCAGATCTCCAATGTGTCTATTCCATTTACCGGGCTCATCTATTTTTCCAAAAGGCCCACCTATGTTCTGGACATGATTTGTGATCGACCCCAAACAATACTTGGTTTCCCCAAAAAAATCATTCTGGGGGAGGAGTATTTTGTGGGTCACCCCCCACTTCAGGCACCTATGAGTTCAAGTTCATCAACGGCAACTCCTGGAGCGACCTCATCGAAGAGGTCCCCATGGAGTGCAGCGAGCAAACCTCGGAGCATTTCAACCGGCAGCTGACAATAACCGCGGAGATGTCCGCCGAGGTGCGACGGCTGCGAGTGCGCGCGCGCGCAACCGCAAAATTAGGCCCGGGTTTGTGGGCAGGTGTTGGTTTTGATATTCCAGAACCATGGAACACCTTCACAGGCACTTCTTTAGCCAGCTGGGTTACAACCCCGCTTTGATCAGACAAAAGCAGCCCGCGGCGCGGGCCTTGGTATCAAGCCTGCGTGTCTTCTTTGGGGACAGGCGTCGAATGAGTATGCAAGCTAGTGTCCGCTTGTGGACACCAGGTAAGAGGGTTTCCGCTATCAACCAACTGCAATGGAAATGAGGCATGTACTCTCATTGTGGCTACTGATTGTATACCCAACTGAAATAGACTTGTTACCTTTTGGACATTGAGTGTTTTTCCCCATGAGGGGTCTCTCAGATAAGCCCACATCCATTGAGGGTTTCCCATTCTCTGACCTGGCACAGGTAGATGTGTGCTTCAGTGCCTGCGTGCCGTGTCACGGCATTCCCCCATGCAAGCTTTTCCGATGCCCTGGCTGGATGGTGCATCGGATGGATCAGCTGGAAACAGTGGCCACTACCTCGGCAGAATGCTGTGAGGCAAGCCCTCCCTATGTCAAGGACCGGCTTTGAAGAATGCAGCATGCGTTGCCCACCTGTGTAGCTATCTGGGATATGCATATTTGTCAATCAGGACTGATTGACTCGTTTGATTCCCTTTTTGTTGAAATGCCTCCCCTCCTGAAAGGGGCTGTTTATAATTCTACTGGATCCGTCCATTTCCAAGCCTCATCAAGAAAACCCGTCTGCCTCAATCTGAGTTGGCCAGGACGTGGTCGTCCAATCCGCCGGCTTCGATGACGGCAACCAAGTGTCTTTCTGGCTCAAGGGCACTTTGATCTATGCCACCACTCGCAGGCGAACGGGTCGATACGAAAGCGAACTGGTGGTGTTACTGTCTGGTTCTTCCAAGTGAGAGATGCACATACCTTCCGGTTGGGTTCTTGCGTTTGTTTCACGACGTCACTCATCTTGGATACAGAATCAGGTTATCATTAATGTTCCTCTTGAAGGGGCTTCTGTCAGGTTCGGTGGCAGGGTACCCTCCCTCCAATCATGGAACCTGACGATTGGAGGATGTTGGAAGGCTACTTTCCTTTTGGGGTTTGGCTCCCGATTGTCTACTTCTATGGCTCGAAAACGGCTAAATAATGACTAGAAGTTTGCTGTAATCATGACCAAGTATGGTTTTCGCATGCCCCACAGCCCCATTCTTGATATGGCAGAAGCAAATACCCTTAAAACCACTGGGGTAGAAACGAATATGAGCTCATAGATAGCTTAGCCCCTTCCATTCCCCCGTTTGAATTTAGCAGGGGCCTGACGGCCATGGTGCTGTCCAGCGACGGAGAGCTGAACCGGGCCACCACCTTCGATACCAATCAGGACTCCTCTCAGCTGGAGATCTTTCTGGAGGCCGCCGGTTCTCATGCGAAAGCCCTCCAGAAGTGAGTGTGGGCGTGTGGGTGTGGGTGTTTTTGTTTTTGTTTTCTTGAAGAGAGAAGAGAGCAACCCATGAAACACAGGTTTCAGGTGTCCTTTGGATATGGGTGTCGTGTTTGCATTTGGGTGCGGGTGTGGGTGTCCTTTGCGGGGGGAACCTCATCAAGCAGAGCACCTTCTTGGCGCGGGTGCCCCTGAGTTGAGCTGTCTTGAGCAGGCGGGGGTTCGAGCCCGAAGGATCTCCATTCAGGGATCCACTGGAACTGGCACACACCCGATAGCCCCCTTCAGGTTAAGGGGGGATCCGCAGAATTTGGGTGGATGGCATGTTCTTGTGTTGGTGGGGTGACCACGATGTGTGCTTTGATGGAAAGCCATGTTTCGGAGTTGGGTTGCTTGAGAAGCCATATTTCAGAGTTGGTGTTGTTGCAGGGAATCCATTCTGCGGAGTGAACCATATTTTCAGAGTGTGCTTGTGCTTGTCGAAGTGGTTTCAAGGGAAACCAAAGAACAGCTGCTCGTGCTCAAAACCAGGGGAGCCCAAGTATTTGTTTCCTTCAATCTCCGTTCAAAGCGCTTTATTCAAATGGGGTTGACTCTCCCATGCTGGGCCTAAACATGGTCCATGTTCGGGTTTCCGCCCACCCTTGCACGTTCTCGTCTTTGGTTGAAGCGCTTTTTCTCACGTTTCCTCCGTTTCTTCTTTTTATCCAAAACGTGTTTGGGTTAACGAGGCCTTGGAGAACGGCACCCAGTTGCTTCTGGGCGCTTCCGACGAAGCCTCATCCTCCTTAAGCCCCCGGGCGCGGGAGCTGATCCGCGGCTTTGGGGGAACTGCCATCGACCAGATCGCCTGGCGAGGCTCGTACGCGCTGATCGGCGCACCGCGGCTGGCAATCGGATGGATTGGCTTGGAGTTGCGTCACCATCCTTTGTCGTTGTTTAGAAACGTGCAAAAACAAACTGAAAACCCGGCCACCCGGCACTTTGCGGCAAGATGCGTTCCAGATCAAGACAAAAAAAGCTAATCTGATGAAAAGCTCCCAAAGCCAACAGAAGCCCCAGGTCCTTTGGGTTCCGCATGGCTCAGGTGAAGAACGGGGACGCCTTCGCGGAGGCGGTGGTCAGTCGATTCGGCGGCCCAGCGGTGGCGGTGGCGGCCGTGCCGTGGGCGGAGCTGCCGTTGCTTCCGCTGCCGAGCTGCGACGTGCAGGTGGGATCCACCCGGAATGAGGGGGGGGTGGGGTGGATGGGATGGAGGGAATTTTGGGCATTTGATCTGTTCTAACCCAGGCTTAGTAACTGGTTGATTCATGGGCGGATGTCCCATTTGAGAGGGAATCGGGTTGGTGATGACACTTACCGGATTTTAGAGTTTCCTAGGTTCATATCAAGGGAACCATTGCCAGAACCCACATAAGGAAGCTTGCCCATGGCAATGGCTATGAACGTTGGGGAATTCTTGGCATCGGAAGCATTTGTAAGAGTTCGGATGAAAGAGAATTGGAAATGGGCTTCAGACAGGCCACGGAACACTTCTCGGCGGCATCTTTGTTCAACCCACCAATGATGCAGACGAGACTTTCTATAAAAGCGGCTTACAAACATGTTTGACAGGTTGTCGCCCCTGCGTAATTAGTCACTGTGATCGGAAAGATCAAGCGCTTCCTCATCATTTGCATCCGCAAAGCGGGCTCTGCCCGAAGCCCTGAACCACGCCACCTGTTGGCTTTTGGGTCTCAAAAGGGCCTATGTGTGGAGCCCATCATGTATCAGGACACTTAGGGTGGATGTTTCTTACCCACACCACATGCGCCGTGGAGAGGGGCAGGTTGCGAACCTTTCCCATTTCGCCAACAGCTGAGCCGCTAGGTTCCCTTCCCACCCAGCTCTGGGAAAGTCCACTCGACTGGCAACTTGGAAGCTCTTTCGGCACTTAGCACGGCTGGTGGTTGGCTTGTTTTTTTTTTTGTTTTTATATATATATATATATGTGTTTTCTTTTTGTTCTAATTATAGTTCATAGTGTTTGCGTGTTTGTGTGTTTGGTGTTTTTTTTGTATATGTGTGTGCGCTTGTTTGTGTGCGTCCTTGAGCGTTTGTGGTCAAGTATGTTGTGTCTCCGCAGAAGTTTACGAACATATTGTCAAGCAAGTTTAGTCTCCAGAACTTTACGGTCAGATTTGCTTCGGCGTTTGTGTTGCTTGGCCTGCGTTGTCGGGTTTGTGTTATGTTGTGGCATGAAGCGCATTCTTTGTTATATATATATACTTTTGGGTTGTGTGCGTGTGTGTGTGTCTTCTTGATGGGTTTTGTAAGTGTGTGTGCGTGGATTATGCGCTTCAATGCGCGCGCGTGTGTGTGTGTGTGTGATTCTGTGTGTGTGTGTGTGTGACTGTGTGCGTGTGTGTTTGTGTGTGTGTCTCTGTACTGATTTGCGCGCATGTTTCGGGGTTGGTGTGCCTCGGTGTTTGCGTGTTTGTGTTTATGTGTGCGTGTTTGTATGTGTCCGTGTTTGTGTGTGTGTGATTGTGTGTTGGGTGCATTGGATTGGGGGATGTTGGTTTGCGTTGTTTTGTTTGTGTTGGTTGGTCTGTGTTCTCAATGTTTGTGTGTGTGCGTGTGTGTCTTATTTGTTTGCTTTCCTGGGCTTGTGTTTGGTCGGCGATACATGATTGTGCCCTCCACCAAAGCAACCAAGCAAAGGGCGTCGTCAAAAACAGAGGCTACCCGGGGTTTCTAAAGGGGCGCAATTGTCGCACCCCCCGATGTGCAGGGTGTTACATATATATATATATATATATATATGTATATGAATATACATATTTGTTGCACATCAAAAAGGGTTGCTTGGAGCCTTTAAACACATGGCCACACCTGGGTAGCAACACTCCCTTCACCAGGGTGCAACCGTATCATCTGATGGCGTAGCTGCAGGAAGTTTATACGGAGGACGCCAGCTGCCGGTACACGGTCTTCGAGCGCGACAGCATCTCCACATGTTTGGATGGTGCCTGGGTGGTGGTTCTGGGCACTTCCAATGCTCAGCTCCTGGCCAACAACCTGCTGTCCCCTGTCAGCAGCGTATGTTTTGGTCTGAAGATTGCCTTTTGGCTGCCAATTTTGAGCGCGCCTTCCCTTTGGGGTGATGTTTAGAGTGTCGTTCATATACCTTGTTTTCAACAATAATGGAAGGGACAGGAGACATTCTTAAGATGGTAGTCTTCCAATACCCCTCTGTCCACTTCCATGATTGTTGCAAAGAAGTTTGCACGTGCTTGTTTGTTTGCCTTTTCACCAGTTCCCTTATTTTGCTTGGAGACACAAACTCGCAAGAGTGTAGTTTCGAGGCTAAAAACTGCACGTGCTGTCCAAAAGCATCCCTTGTGGATGAAGATGGAAAAGCATAGTTGTTGGAGGATGCTGGATGGGGCTGGTTGGATGGTTGGTTTGGTTGTTTGGTTGGTTGGTTGGTTGGTTGGTTGGTTGGTGGGTTGGTTGGTGGGTTGGTGGCTTGCTTGTCCGGTTTTCGCACGGGCACTTGCCAGGTTCACCCTGGCTGGGCGCAATGCCACTCGGCGAGATCGAGCCGAAGGCCTTTCCGGCCTTTGGGAAGCCTGCAACGTTCATCAATTGGTTGCCCCTGTTGTTTAGTGGTACCTTTTGCCCCCCTTTCTCTCACTTCCTGAGTTCCTGGACTTTAAACTTTGTGGGAAGACCATCTTGGTGGTAAGTAGAACAAGTAGACTTTTTGGCCAATCCACTCAGGTGAGCTCTTGTTTAGTGGAGTCCCACAGTCCACATGGTCCGGCGGTTGAAAGGTGTTGTCTACTTTTCTGTCCGAGTCACAGGGCGAGGGCTCAACCACCCACCCCATTTGGCTACGATGCTTGTTGCCCCAATCTTGAATGATTTCCACCAAAGCAAAAGTCTCCGATGGAATTTTTAGTTTACCTTTGTTTTGCGGCAATGTAAAGCAACACAAAGGTGTTGCTTTGCAACCTCGGGCATGATAATCCTTTCCGGCATTTTTCTTGGGCCGGAATCTATAATTGAAATAGTTTTGCGCCATGTCCAAGCACCGTTGTATGGGCTTTGTGGGGCTGGCTCTCTGGTTCTGCTTCGCTTGTGAGGCTTCCTATTAAGCAAACCACGACGATGGCCTGCATAAGAGAGTGTACCAACTTAATCAACCCTAAACCAACCGTAAATCAACCTTAGATTGAACCAACCCCTAAGCACATATCTTCAATCAACACTAAACACACTCTAAACCACCCCGGAACTAACCTAAACCACCCCTGCACCAAGGACTAAAAACACATCCTAAACCAACACTAACTACACTCTAAACCAACCCTGACATGTTTCATTGACGAAATATATTAATTATTGGGCCAGTATTTTGCCCAACGTTTTGCTGGGAGTCCAGACCAGGCAAGCGATCATATACACTTCGGCGAATTCAACTTTCATGACTTCGTCATTGAAGATGGCGTTGTGATTTATCACAACGTCATCCGCGTCGATGACGTGGAGGAGTGCAAGCAGACCCGCACTTGCCAATTTATGAACCTTTTGAACCTTTGGATTTCTCAGCTGTGGTCCAAATGTTTAGTCAAAGGGCGAAGCTGAGATAATGTATTCTTTCGATTTTGTTTGTTTGTGTGTTTTGTTTGTTTGTTTGGTTGGTTTGTTGATTCATTTGTTGTTTGTGTGTTTGTCTGTCTTTTGGATACCCGAGTTATTTTGCTTGCAAGTGAGGAACACAACCGGCTCAAACGAGCAAGAGGAGCAGTGCAAGGAGCCTGGGCAAAGTTTGCCACCAAACCGATTGTACAGGCAGGATTCCAATCCTGGTTTGGAGTATCAAGAATTCCACTGCACAATTGATTCAGCGGGATTCTGAGACATGGACTCTTCCAGGCTTGTGGTTTGGGGAATTGAGCTCGTTTCCATCCTGCGCTCGGATTGGTACCATAGACCATGCTACCCTATCATGCGTGGGAGACTCCACCAAAGACATGACTTTTGTTAAGGCTTCGCTTAATTACTGAGACGTCCAAACAGGGAAATCATGCCGCATGAGAAGTTCAGAGCACTTGTCGAGAAACGCGCACAATGACACCAGCGTGAATAGTTAATCTTCTCGCAGGGTCCTTTAATGGGAAATGGAGAACCCGCTCACGAGACAGGACATTTGCAATAAATCCCAGCTGGGGATGGCTCTGCTTGCATCTTGCACTGATTAGCGGGCCCTAGGAGGCAATGCTTGTGGACCCACCAAAACTCCATCGCATGCACTTTCTGACGCACAGCAAGCTACATGTGAGCAACTGATAAATTGACCGGGGTGTCGGTTTTTTGGCAATCCCTGAGAGTCTCCCTTAGGCTGTGCTGCAATGTTGAGAGGCGTTGTGGCTATTCTGAGGCACCGTGGCCAGGGTTTTCCTTCTGTGTGTCAGGGTTGCTCGCCACCTTTTCGCTTTTTGCTGGACATGGGAAGCAACAAAGACTCTGGGATGCGCTTCACAGCAACGTGAGGTTGGGTTGTCGTGTCAGCAATTGTTCGGGGAATCAATCTTCTTGTGAATGTTGGAAACCTGAGCATTCCCAAATTCTCTTTTAACAGTTCTGCAAACCAAATCTTCGACATTTTGACGAGCCGGTGAGTTCCTAACCTCCAAACCCTCCGGCCGGCGCCGGCTTGAGGACACCTACGGTACAGAGCTGGCCAAGGCTCCAGCGCCCAAGGCCGGCCGGGTGCGCGTGACTATGAGCCCCGGCGTGTGATTTGCAGTCCATTTGGGAGCAATGGACCTGGGGGGCTACGCGAATTCTCCATTTTGGTGTTATAGCCATGGACAGCGCACGTGGAAATTATTTCCCCGGAATTACCCGACTCAACGATTTCCCACCAGACATGGGGAACAAGTTGTTTTGACCGCTCATGTGCGGTTTTGGCTCATGTGCCATGGTCCAAAAAGGTGGCCCAACGTGTGTGTGTGTGTGTGTGTGGTTTCAATAACCGTGTTTGCTTGACTGTGGCTCTGGATTGATCTTCATTGCTGGCTTGGCGCTTGGCGGAGGGACGACACTTCCTCCAATTCTTGCGGGCCCTTTGAATACTCGGCGTGTCGAAACCTTTGCAAAGTGTCCATGTTGATTTTACACTGGTTTCCTTGTGGAGCCCGGCTACGTTCCTTGTTCTGGCGCACCTGGTCTTCGCCGCATCCCTTTGATCTTTTTGGGAACGCCATCCATGTTGAATAATTTGCCAGCAAAGTTGCGGATCTTGCAATTGCCCAAATCCGTCCTGTTGCTTTCTAGCTCCGGTCTACTAGGAGTCATGCCCCTCCCCCCGTACCTTTTTGCCGTCCGGTCCTTTTTGCCTCGTTGGCCAAGGACCATCGTCTTCTTTTGGGAGCGGGTCCGATCCATGATGCACATCGTGGAGGCAGGAAACGTGGCAGGAAAGGAAGCAACGGGATGCTATGGTTGCAGACAGCTGCTAGTTTCAAGGCAGCTTTGTTTGGGTGGCCCAAGGAGTCCCATTCAAAGTGACAAAGTTGTTTTGTGGGAATGACAAATCATAGTGGCATGACACAAAGGGCGCTTTGTCATTGCTTTGATTGCTGTTTGTGCTGATTGTTCTTGATGATTGATGATTGCCCATTGATGAACACAACTGATGCTCATGTGAATATGGGATAATATGGGTATATTGTTCGATGTGAGCGTGATGTGATATAATAGAGAATAACTCCACGTATGGCCCAGAAGCAAAGCTGTCTTGTCAAACTTTATTGCAGGCAGGGGGGCACGTGGTTGTGCAAAGCCAGGTTTGGCCCCCAAGAGACCAGTGGTATGTATACATATCCCTCGGGCTTTCACCCCGAACCCCAGGGATGTCATCAGCCACCCCACAAAAACGCCACTGGAGAAAGGGGCTGTCCCTTTTTGCGTTAGCTGTCTCGGGTTTGCTGTTTTAGGTGCGAGTGTTTGTGTAAAAACACAATCAAGTTGGTGCACAGCGGGCAAATGACTCTCAAAGCCCCGATCACCCAGTGATCCATGTTTACCAGGAGGTATGTAATAAATGTACAACACCGCCTTGAGGCAATTCTGAATTGCATGTTAATAGACAACTTATACGAGAGGATGTGGACCAAATTCAACATCTGACTGAAAGCTCCTTCAACTTGTCGATCCAACCATTACGGGTTGAATTACTACTTATCCTCGACATGTGGGGTGGCTGTCAAAATGTCTGCGTCTTTGTGTCTCTGTGTCTCTGTGTTTGTGTGTTGTGTGCGTGGGCTGGCCAAGCTCATTGACCTGTATTGCGAGCAACGGGCAACGATCCGTCATTGGGCGTGTGCATGCAAAAAAACTGTATTGTCCCAACAGCGACAGCTAAGGGGGTCTTAACTAATCCTGGGTTTGGCAGCTTGGGCAGCTTCCTGAAAGGTTCCTCGAGGGTTCCACATAAATCCTGAGCTTAAACGGATTGGATCCAAGCCCACCCTGCCCTCCTCCTGGTGTCCTCTTGGAATCCGAAATCCTGCACCACCTAAGAAACCCTGGAATCAGGGGAAATGACGCCTTCCTCATATTTGTTGAAAGGGCAACCAGGCCCCAAGCTATTTGGAGAGCTCCTCGAAATGCCAACCAACAGTGGTTTCCCATGCTTTTGAAGTGGTGCAGGAGTTCGTCCATCCGTATGATTTCAAGGTGCCACATATACCCACTCGACCAGGCGGACGCGGGCTGGCGGGAGGTGAAGGTGGGCTATGTGACCCAAGTGGTGGCATGGACGCTGGGCAAAGCTTGGCATAGCGGAAGCGAAGACCCGGCTCCCCCGACAAAGGATCTGGTGTTCCCTTTCAAACCAACCAAGGGGACATAAAAAGTGGGGGTCTCCCAAGATAGTGGTCCCCTAAAATAATTGGTTGCCTAGGTTGGTTTACCAACCAGAACTCAACTTGGGTCTAATTGGCGATTTGGATTGGTGGTTCGCTATACTGGGTTGTTGCCCCTGTTTGACATTTTGTATTGGTTTGTTTGGGATTAGTGGGGTGCTACTCAGCATTGGTTAGTCGAAGTACTAAATACGCCAAATATTCTGGGTCAGAATGTTTGGGGGATTGGTTTGGACCATATCAGATAATCATTCAGCATTTGTGGTCAAATCCGATTCATTAGGACTCGATTTCTTCATTGATTCAATTCAGAATCGAGGAGCGAGTCAGGCAGTGAGACAGGCAGTGAGTCAATCATGGAAAGCCGAATCCCTTCACCTACTTACCACAAATTTAATTTAAGAATCCTCACACATGCTAAACGATTATTGCATTCACGCGGGTGCAGTCATTGATTTAAGTCTCACATATTCTTACTCATGGCAACAGGCGAAACATGTTTGCATGGAGGAAAGCTGTGTTAGTGTTCGCACACGTTCATTCAATCCGTCATTTTGTTTTGTAGGTTTTTCCCCTTGAACCCCCCAAAACCCAGAATATCCAAACCACCAATCCAAACCACCAATTAAGCTGAAGAACAAGGTCCACCATTTTGAGAAACACGACCGGGGCCGGACTTGCCCCACTTGGGTGGCAGACTCGCACATGGATGTGGACAACTTGCCGAAACCTGCTTGGTGGTTGCACCTGACAGAAATGATTTCGTCAGAAACCAAGGGGTCAACCTAAGACTTTTAAGATCATCAGGACATAAAGTCAAATTATGCCCAACAGGTTTGGAACCTCCCCGAAAGCTGTGTAGAATCTTCCAGGAAGCCCCACCCCAAGACAGGATCGAATTGACCCCATATTTGTTGCTGGGGAGCATGGACGTTGATCCGAAGATAAACCCAACAGTTTTGCCAATCTTGGTGTCAAAGTGGCGGGGGGAGAAGGCTGTGGATTTCCGGGCAAAATCCGTCGACAAAGTTGCTTGACTTGCAACCGAAAATCTATGATTATTCGGCTTGTCTAAAAGCAGTAAATGTTCAAGATGATAAGCCAAAATGAAGATAGCGTGGCCGGGGGACTACATTGCGCAATAGCAAACATCTGGGAGTGCTTATGCAACATTGCTCCACTGACCCTACTACACTGACAACAGGAAATGCACACCCGCACATAGAGAGGGAGAGAGAGAAACAGAGAGAGAGAATGAGAGACACATGCGAAACTCGGACAGCCAAAGCTTTCGGCCGAGCCATTTGCCATTGGACCTGGACCTGAGGTACCTGGTTTGCCAAAACATCAAGTCCTACCTCTGCCCGCGGAGAGAGCTTAAGGATGACACGGAAGACCAGACATTCCAGAAGTTCACAGATGAAATGGACTCGGTGCTGAGCTATATGCAGACCTCGTGTTCTCCTTCTGGCCGCGCTGGTCAAGGCGTGGCCACCCCCCCTGAAAAAGGGGAATACGGGGATATCCACTTTTGGAATTATGCTTATGGTTCCATTTGCCACTTTCTGGGGCGACTGTCAACTTCAGAGCAATCTGGAGAATCATGCTAGTAACTTTGTCCGCGTGAGACTTCCGTGATCATGGTCCACTGTGGGGGTCCAAGTTTGAAGGGCTCCCCTGCTTTTGAAGCAGACCCATGCAGTCTCACTCCCCGCATAGGCCACTAAAAGTTGCACACAGCAAGTTTGGACCATTCTTGAACCCATCGGAAGTGAGTGTATCCTGCTATACTGTATATGTATAGCTGGAAGGCTGGAGATGGGTCACGGAGGGCTGACCGTATATACATATATATATATACATACACATCTGTACTACATATATGAGGATCGACCCAAATCCCCCTCTGTCTTCAATGAATAAGGACTGAATACGACAGCATGTTTGTTGTTGCTGCGCTGTGGTCGCGGAAGACTGCGGAAGGATTTCACGGAAGGGTATGTACCATCATAGCAGGAAGCCCTACTCGTGTACAACATGTGTATTGAAAAGTTGCGATGCTTGAGCTGGGGTTGCTTGTGTAATACACTGGTCTAACAGTTGCGATGTTCAAGCTGAGCTGCCAAAGTGCCCTTCGTGTACCTCCCTTGTGAGCTGAGAACGATACCCTGATTGACACCCGCGCGATTCCAGCTCGATCTTGGCTTCTGCTCCGTTCCGCAAGGTCCGTTCCTACTTCTCATGTTTCCACAATTGTAGAGGCGTGCCAGCCCTCAAAACGATACCAAAACGAAACCACTAGAACTGCTGCTCGCCTTTGACAGGCCCATTTCATGATGAAGCGTAGCTTGCCTATGTCGCCGCTTTCCTGCCTCCCTTCTTGCTGCTTCTCCGCTGCTGCTTCTTTGGTTGCCTGCTCCTCTTCCCGTCATTATTCAAGCTCCTATTCAGTCTCTTGCTTCCTGCTCCTGTTTTTTCTCTTGGCTGGCTTTGCTTCTTCCTAGAGTAGCACACGTGGAACAAGGAATGTGAAGGAATATTGGGCAACCCTGATATGTATATATATATATATATATATATATATATATGTTTGCCAAGCCAACCCGCCCCCCATTTTGGGGGGGGGTGTTCCTTTGGTTTCTTTCAAGCCGACAAATGACGCACTCGTTTGTCCAACCCACGTTTCGCAAATAGCTCGACCCAAGGCTTCGGCTGCGTGGTGGGCACAAACTCCTACACCGACGCTCAGGGCTCCCTGGGGGAGGCGCCTTGCCCGTCCTCGCTTCGCTGCGGGAAGCCAGGACAAGACCAGTTGACCCTTCCCCAAGACAGATGTTTGGCGGTTTCCCCTCTCAAAATGGTCGACCGCGAAAAGAATTGGAGGGGGGGTGTACCGGCAAAGGACAGTTCCTTCTCCCCTTAGTGCGACATTTGTTCTTGTCTATTTTGAGGGTTCCCGGGGGGGGGGGGGGCTGAAAAAAGTCACGCCCATGTCCTTTTCTCAATTGTTTTCGGGACACCTCAAAAAACATCCGACTTCCCTGAGGCCTTTCGTCGCTTCAACGCCCAAGTCCTCGTCTCCATGTCCTCCAAAGCCACGGGGACCTTCCGCGCGCTGGACGTCTTCGCGCTGGGCGCCGCCATGCCGCGGGAGACGCTGGCGGGCCACGGGAGTCCCATGGTGCACCTCTGGACCCGGATGCGCGTCGCGTTGGAGGTCATTGGTCGGTTTTTTTTTCGACGGGAAATACTCCTTTTTGGTTGAAAGGGAAGCCAAAAGCTTGAAAAAGAAACGAGGCCATTGTTGGGGGGTCCTCTAGAGAAAAACACAAGCCCGCTTGGGGCTGCGCAGTGGATTCCGCCAACTTTGAGAAAACCTGTTGTGGGGTGTTGGGCTCCTCTTTAAGCTCAATCAACCGAAAAAGGACGCCCTGTTTTTTCTCACACGGCCACTGGGCATCTGAGTATATGGCTTGGCTGGATGTTTGGTTCTTCCGTTTCCGCAAAAAGTGCAACTTTTCACAGAGGGGTCAGCAGCAACCAAGAATCGGTGTTCTGCCTTGCCTTTCGAACAGACGACCTAGCAAGAGTAATGGGGTTCCATTCACGTCTTGGGCAACCCGGTTTGTGGGAAATGGAGCCCATCAGGTCATACGGAACGCCCTCAGCAGGGTAGTGATGGGGATGGGAATGCCGCTTGTCTCGGACACGGGCAACATTTTCCAAAACCATTTGCAAAGTGCCGACGTTATCCAAAGGAGGCCTGCTGAAAGGGTGGGAGGATGAGATGTGTAGCTGAGTTATGCGATTTGCTGGGATCTTGATTTGACATCGACATCGCCACAATCCAGACGAACCATTTTGCCTCATGAACATGCGATTGTACACCCGAACCATAGCCGCAGAGCACCCCTACGAGTCAGTTGGTCTCGTGAGTTGGTTTCCTTCAGGGCCTTAGGCACCTTAGACCAAGGCACGATTTGCACGCCCAATGCCGAGGGCGTGTCATGTGCAGTGCCTATTGGGCTTCGAGGACCTGGATGGCTATCTTGGGCGCCTGGTGTGCGCCACAGCTGGCAGCTGATGAGTGGCAGGTGCGCTGAGTGGCTTGCAAATTGCCCGAAACCCGGCAGACGGCAGACCGCTTGTTGTTGCGGAAACAAATCAGTTGCTGGGTGTTCAACTTTTGGACAACACTAAAGGAGATTCACATTGTTTGTTGACCAGAGGTCTGAAGAACACGGCAACTTTTTGCTGATGGACATTTACCACTTGATACAATCATTGGTGTTTTTGTTGTAGTGGTTTTGCAATATGCCTTGATTACTGATAAAATCTGAGAAAACCATTATCAGTTGGGCATTGCCACGGATGGTTTCCGTGCTCGCCTCCAGGTGCACTTCGTGGGACCTTTGTGCAGTGCCCGGGAGGTGAACGAAGCCTTGTGCCCGCGAGCGCAAATCGGCGTGGAGTGGATTTGCATGCGCCTTGAAGCACGGGGGGGGCGGGGGGGGGCCTTTTTTTCCCAGCTGAAAGCTGCCTCTCTGGCCAAATAAGCTGGGGTGGTCTGGCTGTTGAAGGGAGGGTTCCGGAGTGTTCCAGTTCCGGCGCTGTTGGGGATATCAACTGGGCATTTGTGTCCAAAGCCGTGGACAAGGGGAACTCGTGTTTTGGATCGTGAAATCCGCAGGCAATCCCGGCAGAAGACTCTTGGAGGGCAAAGTGTGCAAGGGGAACAAATCGGACATGTGGAAGCCGCATATCTTCTGTTTCTTTCAGAAACATACCCGTGACAAGCCTGGGCGAAGCAAGCCTTCTCAAAGGGAGTTTGACCGGGTTTCTAGGGGCGTCTAGGGGGATAGACTGACTGGCTTCTAGAGGAATCTAGGGTTGGCTTGCAGGGGGATTTGACAGGAGTTGGGCCGGTTTTAGAGGGGATTTGACTGGCTGCCAGGGCGAATTTGACCGCCTGGTTTTCTAGAGCTGGTTTATGTGAGGGAGTGAGTTGGACCGGTTTTTGGAGGGGATTTGACTGGAGGGGAATTTGGCCGGTTTCTAGAGTGGGCTTGACCAGGCACCCGATGTGTTTCTGGGGACGTTGCACGAATAGCAGGGCGAAGTTTGAGCTGCTCAATCTTGTGCTCTGCAAAAGAATTCGACCTCCACAGCTCTATGGCTATGTGATTGGATCTTTGGACTAGTTGAGGAATCAGTTCGGAGTTTCCATCCCCACAACAAGCTAAACTTTTTGCAGAGGGGTCAACAGCCACCAAGGTGGTAATTTCCCAAGAGGGACAGTCGAACATTGGATTGGCCATCTCCACTTTTGAACATAGCGGGGCAGCTCCAGAAATGCCTTCCGGTCGGCTCTGGTCCCGGAAAGTGGTTCTTCTTTGGACTAGTTAGCAAAACAAGGTGGGGCCCCCAGAGGTATTCCAAATGTGTCCCACACTTGGGCGACAGGACCACTCTTGATCATTTAACATGAACATGCCCCCAGTGATCTCCATTCCAGTCAATTCCTTTCTGTCAAGAAATCTAATTAGACGGGTTTCGTTCCTTGTTCTCCCCGAGATGGCGGGAAAAGTCCTGTTTTTTCATAGTCCTTTTGTCCTTGGCGGTATTTTTTTGTCGATGCAGGGCTGCTCACCCGAGATCTAAGAAGCAGAAGAACCCTAGGAAACATGAGCCGAACCAAGGTATTATGGGAGGTTTCCTCCTAGCCCTTTTTTTTGAGCACCAGCATGGGATGCCAAACACAAGCAGGGTTGCACCCTTTGCTTGTAGCACTCGCCAACCTTTGCGGGTAGAAACGCATCGAGGAACAGCGAGCCCTGCTTTATGGAGATCGCCTCCGCAACACAGACCACCACGTCCGGCTCTCAGTTGCTTGAAAACGGCCTCCCTGTCAAATGGCGCCTAAAGCGGTCCGTTTAGTTTAGAGAGTACTTGTTAAGTTCGTTGAAGAAAAAGGCGTAGAGTGCCAATACAACATAAAGGCATGAATATAAATCGAACTTGATTGAACACACGTCAAGATGGTTTCTACCACCGTTTGAATATGATGTCCGCCAAATGGTGTTCAATTAAAATACACACCACATGGGTCTATCATGTCATGATGGTGCCCTTGGTGGAGTTATGTCTAAGGGAATTGTGAAGGAAGCCGCCAATGTTGGTGTATATACAACATTTGTGTTTCGGACCCCTTCATCGGAACACCAAATGGTGTCATGAAAAGGTCTACTTGTAGAAAAGGGACAACCTGGCAAGGCAATCCCGGAGCTTTCAACCAACAACGTTGCCTTGCGCCATTGCATTGCATCAAACTGGGTTTCAGTTGCGTCCCGGTCGCCGGTCATAGCTATATGTTGTCCTTCCCGGTGTCTGTATCAAAAGTTTTTGTGTTTTTTTTTTTTCAGGTGTCTCTTTGTTTCGCATATTTTGCCACATGCATACGTCGTTTTCCTGTTCCAAAAGTACCCTTTCTTGAGAGCCCTGCAAACTGAGGCCCCTCTCCTTCCCGGTGACTCTGCGATTGGGTATGACGGACCAGGCAGGTGTGAAAAAAGGCACGGTTGATGCCCCTGATTGTGTACGTGTCAAAGTCAGTACCTCTCTTGAGTTCATTTGTGACACCTGCCACTCGTTTGGCGTATCCGAGCCACAGTCAAGACATGAAGTTAACGTAGAGCAGTCCCAATCAGAAAATGGTGCCGTTGTATTCTGTCCTCTATATACATATGTTTGCGGTATAAGGGGCTAAATGATTGCTAACATTCTGCTCCAATGCTCATGACTGAATGCTTGCTTTAACTACCCCACAACCCCATGTTCATTATTTCGGCCTTCCACAAAGGGGAAGGTGCACTCCTCGCGTTAGGTGGCCAGCGGCGTGTACGTGGCCGGCAGCTTCCAGGGCTGGGATCCTGCCGCCACCCCGCTGGCAGAGTCTGAAAATGGGTATGAGGTGACGCTCCACCTCAGCCCGGGGCTGCACCCTGGAGAAGACCGAAGCATCTACCGATCTTCCCCCCCCCCCAGGCTGAACTGGGCCCCAGGTGAGGAGTTTGTGTAATTCGATTCCTTGAGGTTGGCACTTGGTTCCCGGACTCAACTTGATAAGAGCTTCGCTGTGTTGGTCAGCCACGTTGGCAGACGGAACAAACTGTGTTGAATTGTTGCCTTGTTACAAGGGTCTAAGTAAGGCCAAGCCCCGGGCGGCCTTCCTTCCCCAGTCGTTGTGGGCAAGAAGGAATCAGGTTTACTCACCAGTCGGCTGCTGTTTGGGTGAACCGACATGCCCTCATTTTTTCAGGTACACACCTAAGTGCACCCCAAGGTAGTCTCTTTCTCGCGGGGAGGATCCCGCGTTGCCTAGAAGTTCCTCGGAATATATCGTGCATCTATCCCGGGGAAAATAGCTATTCCCTTGACAGGTGCGTGTGCCTTTGGGGGGGGGGCCACCCCCCAAATGGCTTCGGTTTTCCCTTTTCTTTTTTTAAACTAAAACAGAATATGGTAGCATCAAGAAAAGACGGAGCTCAGGTATGAGTACAAGTTCGTGACCGGCGCATCCTGGGATGGTGCAGAGCAAGTTCCTGCAGAATGCGCTCGGGAGGAGTTCTCAAACCGTTTCTTCGAGGTGGAGTCAGTGGCCAAACCCCCCCCCCCTGTCCGGTTCTACTTGCGGGTTTCGACGTGGGGATGTTGCTAAGAAGTAAGGGGATTCCACTGCACCTAATTTTCACTGGGTTTGGCCTGATATGGCTGGTAAAGTTTGACGAGGATGGGCATTGCTCCTGTTTCAGGAAGACTTACAAAACTGGATCACCGATTCTACTCCAACACCTAGAAAAACTGTCATGACTAGCTTGGTAGAAAAGTCATTGGGTTTGACATCCTTTCTACTGGGCCTATTTGCGTGCATTCTCAATACATATTTCTCAAAATCAGATCCACGCTCCACAAGCACTTTTGAGAATGAGGTTGGCAAGAATGGGGGTCTGTTCTACTGGTTCAAGGGTGGTCTTGATATCGTGTGTGGACCCAACTCAGGTGGTCAACGCTCCCTTGGCTATAGAGACCTGCTTCGGCTCCTGCTCATGCGAAGTGGAGACTACAGCGACCACCACGTCGAGCACTGGGGACACTCAGTCGGCCAACAACCTTTTGACTTTCGAGTGATGTCACTGAAGGTGAATAGAGGGTCCCCTAAAATGATTAGCTTCCTCTTGGTACCAACCAAAAGGGGGTCCACCATGTTGAGAAACTCCCATATGGCTGTGTATCTGTTCCGAGCGTACCTCTTTCAGAGCTGGTTTAAAGCGAAGTCACAGAAACAACTGCCATTTTGGGGCTGGGCTCCACTGTTTTTTCACACACGCATACACTCACATGCGGGTCCTGCTAGCTAGTGGATGCTTGGTTGAATGGAGTTTTCAGAGGTCCTAGTTAGCCTCCCACTTGGCACCCCAGCGCCCAACTTTCCAATAGCTTGCGTTTCTTTCACTGTTCACCTCTCCAAAATGAGAGAAGCCTTCCCATTTCGGGCCGGATGTTCTGATTCACTTACCCTTCACGCATGCCATAGGTCCTACGAGGAACAGGGTGCAAACCGACAGCCTCCATCTTTGACAAAGAGTTCAGTTCCACTTTTTGTTCTGGTCCCAAAAAGACGATGGTTTGTGATCAAGCCTTTGAAACCAATTCCGCTTGAAGGCCATTGTCCTGAAGGGCCCATGATCCTTGATTCCCCACGGCCAGCAATGGCCTCCCCAACAGTTTCTGGACTGCGACCTGAAATCCCCCTAAACTTGCAGTGAACCACCCACGTACAATCACTGAATCCTGGTAAATTGGGAATTTGCCGCAATTTGCAATGTTTCCTCGTTTCCTACTCGCAGTCTTTCGGGAATCAAGCACATGGCCTCCCCTGCAACTGGTTTCCAATTGTCTTTCCATACTTGTGTTCAGCCAGTTAAGTTGTTGCCCCGAAGTGGAGTTCAACAGTTAACGCTGTCCGTGGGTTATGGCACCAAGTGCCACACCAGTGTGCAATTTTTGAGGGTACCCGTTTCAGATTGGCTTTAACAGGAAACCCAAAGGGAAACCACCGTTATTGGGAGTCCCCTGTTTTGACGCATACCCACTTGGCAGAAGACCCAAATCTGTGCCTAGGATGTCTTTCTCCCGGTGGATGGAGGTATCGGCCGGGCGTGCCGAGGGGCCTCGCGCTCCGACAATTTGGCCAACTACTACTCCGCCGCTCGCAGAATTCCAGAGTGGGTTGAATACTTTCACACACAAGGCGAAGTAGTGACACTTCTGATTGTTCTTTGGTCAAGCGGTATTTGTTGCGTAACATGCGACAAATCCATTTGGTTGTCTAGGCACTTACTCCTCTGCAGATGAACACGCACCCAGAAGCCCATGGTTTTGACAGGAATCTTCCTTGGGGGGAAGCACTGTGATTTATAGTATTTTTGCGAGGAGGTACACACCAGGGTGTTGTGCCCAACAAATGGGGTCCAGTCTTTTTTTTCCAGAAGCCAAAAGATAAACGCCGTGCAGACAGTCTCCCAAAGGTGCAGGGGGGGTAACAAATCCAAATTACACTTTTGAAGTCAGTTGCTGTGGAATACGAATGATGTAGGGTATTGTGTATTGTTCCTTGGGATTGTGTTGGGAAATTACCCAAATTGAAGTGAAATAACATCCAGCTTGATTTGGAGATTGCCCCCAGTTGTTCAGTGGCACCATTTCTCCCTTTGTTGTTTTTGCGAGTTCCGCTTTGAACATGGTCAACCCCGAAAACATGCACGCACCGGGTCATCTTTGGAAAGTGTCTTCAACATCTTGGTCTATGGTCAAACTTAACAGCTTTTTGTGAACTCACCTGTCTTCTGTTAAGGCACCCTTTTTCTGGGGGTTAAAAGTGCAACCATGCGGTCAAGTCCAACATGAAACCAGAGACTACAATCGTGTTTGGGTTGCTTTCTGGGGACCCAGTGTGCAAGCGGGCCTTACGGAGGGTTCGCTCATGTCCAACCAAATCCAAACGGTGAGTTTGTACTTTATACAAACCAAAGGGAGGACCACCATTGTGGGGGATCCCCAAAAACAGACAGACCCAGGTGGTGTCTGTCAGCAGCCTGGACGCCTGCCAGTCCGAGTGCTTGAGCATGGCCTCCTGCGTGGGGGTGGAGTACAGCCCTAGCCGCTGTGAGGTGTGGACAAGGCCCGAGGGGATCCAGGCGAGCATCGCCTTGTGCCTCGGGCTTCAAATTGGTAAAGCTAGAGATGCATATTTTAAGTAAAATGGTACTTCTAAAAATGTATGAGCAAAACAAATAGGTGTAAATGATGTGCACATTGATGTTGGCGATGATGGCATGATAAACAATTCTGCTTCGACAGCGGTCCCCCAAGATGGGCGACCTCACCATAGGTTCCGAGTACCGGGTTTTGGATCTAGCGGCCAGACTCCTTTGGTCCCCTGCCACAGAGAATCAACGAAGCCATACCCCATAGCACGCAGACTCCTTGAGTCCTTCGCTTTGGCTCAGGTCGGGCTTCTCCTGCTTCAAGCTGAGCACCGTCACCTCCTCTCCGGTCCCCGAGTCCTTCTATGGGGTGGACGGTGGGGTCGGCCGTGCCTGCCGCGGTGCGGCTCCGGGGGACAACCTGGCCAGCGGCCCGGCATTTCAGCGCTTGGGAGGTTCTCCAAATGATGGACACCCGTTGGTATTCAAAGGGAAGCCAACAGTTGCCATTTCAGAATCGCCCTGTTGGGAGGGAAAAAAACACCCATATACTGCGGATGGACAGAATCCAGTTTCGCACCGTTTGGTAGGTGTTTTTTCATTATTTTATCGCATCATTATAGGGCTCATCCATCCCAGCCGGTGAAGGATGTTGTGTTTTTTGTTCATCTACGGTGTTTGCAGTACCGTAATCTGTTGTAAATGGGATGATATACTCACCTGCCATTGGGAAATGGGGGTCGAAGTCCGCACAAAAACCGGGCAGACGGGCTCAATGGTCCCATGTGCCTTTGTCCGCGGCTTATTTGCGGGGTGGATTGGGAATCCTTCCGCTAGAAAGGCGAATTTGAACTGAGATCTTTGCTGAAGGCGACGTTCAGAGGGGACATATAAGATGGGACATATGAGGAACCTAGTTTTGAGTACGGTTTCCTTTTGACTTCCCATTGAAACAACCCCCGAAAGGCCGGGAAGAGTACTAAATCAAGAACGGCACGCCTACATGCTGGTTTAGCCTTGTTGGTCCTGCGCTATGGTTGTTCTTGTAAAAAATTTGCTGACTTTTCCAAAGCCAGGCTTTTGACATGTGGCTTTCCCTGAAAAGCATTTTAAGTCGCGGCCCCAAAAGGCCAAACTGAGTAGTTGTGAACCAACACAAAGACACTAACGCGCCCGCTCTGATGTAGCTCAAAACCATCCCAACCTAGCTGAGCTGACAAACAGCCAGAATCCCTCCCTGAAGCAACCTCCACCAACTGAACCAGCCGAACTCTGCACGGAGAATTGAGCTCACGGAGTCACGGAGCCAGAGAGAACCGTCAGGCTTCTACCAGCACCAAGCACCAGCCACCAAGGCGCAAAGCGCCAGGGTTCTGCCCCAGTGACGCCAGCGCGGAAGATGGACCATGAATCTCACGCCAGCGAGCGAGTGGACCTTTTCACCGCGAGTGTTTCTTTTGGTCCATTTTCAGTCGCCGCAAAAGGCGACCTTCAATTTCTGGGTCCCAGCAGCAACTGAGCAGTGGGGAGTGTGTCCGGGCCGAGTGAGGCTATTACTACATCCAGCAGTCCAGCGGCCTGGCAGGGTGCCAACAATCCTGTGTCCAGGAGACCTGAGAAGCGTGCCCGGGGCGACTGCCAGTTCAATGGGCGCGACACATGACTTGGTGCGATAGGGAATGACGGGTTTTGGGAATGAAATCCGGTTTTGGGGATTTCCGAATCAAGGAAACCAAATCGGGGGGGTCATTCCGTTTCTCATTCCCTGCCTATCGAACCAAGGTGAAGGCCCGGTGAAGGCTCCTTTGGCATGTCCCATGTGTTGCGCCGGGAACTTGACATTAGCTTTTCGGGCCTTGCCAGGGAGCTTTCAGAAGCGCCAATGTTGATGAAACAGGACAGAGAGGCCAAACGACACTTCATCAAGACCTGGTTATGTCGGTTATGTATCAAGAAAAACGATGGTCATGGTTGAGGAGGATCCCTACTTGGGGAAACATGACAATTTCCCACTGGCAGAGTTGTCAATGTGTGTCAAAGCAAGGGCCCCTGCTTAGCACCTGCCATGTGGATAGGGTATTTTAGTTTTCACCCCCTGCCTTTGACTGAAACGGTTATGTAGGCTGTGTTTTGTTGGTTTTACCGTAACCATGTCACCCATTGTGCAAGTGGCCAACCCGTCTTCCGCAACATTTGTTCCTGTGTTTCCCCTTTTGCTGTGCTGCAACATCACCAACCACCTGCTGCTGATGACATGGTTTACACGGAGCCGATCTGTGCCAAGTCCCACTATATGCCAACCGAGCGCCGACGAACTTGAAGAGATCTCAGTTGAGATTGGCAAGATTGGCAGAGCTGATCTGATACGTCCGAAACGGTTGGGCTGCAACCCAATTAAAAGAGCGCCCCTAAGCCCCTTTCAAGGGGTTCCCTTTCAAGGTGCCCGGTGCTTTGTGGCAACAAGTCCCAACCTGTGCCAATGGTTGCCTTTGAACCTCAAGGAACCGACTCTGACATAGTGACGACGCCAGAGTGTGGCATACGCTGAAACAACTAGCCCCTTGCCATATTAGGGGGAGACCCCCTTTATATCAGAATGGTTTTTGTTTCTCATATTTGAACAAGGCCCCCCCCTTTTAGGGGTCCGTTTTTATTTGAGCCGGTTTTGAAATCTTTAGACCAATCAGTGGACTTCCTCTTTTTCTTTTTGGACTCCTTTGGGTTGGCCCCGAAACGGCTTGGCTGTTAGCCAAACGGCCTGTAACCCTGCAAGGCTTTCGAGGCAACGCGTACGACTTTGGGGATTCCTCTCTTCTGGCTAGTTGTGTGTCAAAATAGGGGGAACCCTCAAAACGGTGGGTTTCCCTTTGGTTTTCATGTCAACTAGCCTCTGAAGATTAGCCCAACAACAGATACATATCGAAAGCCGCAGGAGCCGCAGTGCGTGGGCATCGAGTACAGCCTCGGGCGCTGCGAGATTTGGACCCGAGCGCAGGGGATTGAGGCCACGGTGGCGTTGAGCGGGTTTACTTGCCAGCGCTCCTTGGCAGAGTTTTTAGGCTGGTGGGGTCCATGGGGCAGCAACGGGTCCGCTTTTTGGAAGTGAGTTGCGGGGCAGAAAGAGACCTCCAGGGGTCAAATTATGCTGCTTGGTACACGGTGAATTTTGGAGCGGCATAGGAGACTGGCGCAATTTTCCACAAGAAGCAAGGGGACCAACCCTTACTCTCCCATGTCCAATATGGGAACGGCATGTTCTTTCTGCTGTTTGGGCGCAAGGAGCTTGCCTGCGTTCTTGTTTTGGGCGATTTGCAAGCGGCCGGTTAACTCAAAGTAGGTAGCATTCAACTGGCATTTGTACGCAGTGACCACTCTTTTCTGTGGGTTACTGTATGAGGCTCAACCAGTTTTTTGCCCGAACAGCTGAGAGCTATGGGTCTCTGCCCAAATAGGCTCTGGTGTGGCTTGGGACAGCTTTCAGGGAGGGTTCCAGTTCCGGGTCTGTTGGGGATACCACCTGGGTGATTTTTTCTGAAACTCCTGGTTGACGCCTCCAAGATTCTCTTGTCGGGCTCTGAAGGACCCTCATCGACCAGATCTGGCAGAGAACTGGAATTGCCCTGTTTTTTTGCAAGAAGGATATCCAGCGCGGAGGCAGCTTCCAAATTGAACACATATTTCCATCATAACAAATGGCTGAAAGTATGTGTGGGCCAAATGAGCCTTCCGATCTGGGCTTGGGGCCCATCGAGCACTCAGAGCTCATCTTATCCCTACTTAACCAGGCGATGTCGAAAACAATATGGATACCGGACACCCAAGGTTCATTTCTGATTCCAAAGGGGAGGCACGTTAATTCCATTGGAACCCTGGACCAAAGCCCCATCTTGGAACGTCAGGCTACAGCAGTTCCGCGCGCCGATTGCAAACGGACTTCCTGGCAGTGTGAGCATCCAAGTCTCTCAGCTAGCGAAGCTGCACCTCCGTCACGTGGTTGAAGGTTCATGAATAGGTGCTGCCGCCTTTCAATTAAGACAACCGCCATTTTGGATGTCTTGTTGCAAGGCTAAGCGAAAGGAAAGCTTTGGAGCAACTATGAATCTGTGTTTCTTGTGGGTCATAAACTACGCGACAGAAATACCAATTGAAAGGCAGACACCTAGAGGACGAACACCTAGGGCATCCATAGCTCAGAAATTTGCTGGCGAGAAGCCTCGACTCGGCGCAGGTAGGCCGAGCGCTTCAAATGAGGTCTTATGGAAGTGTGGGTTTGTTCTTCTTGGGGAAGCTTCATTTGGGTTTCGACCACTTTGGGTCCCTACTCTTGAGGTAAAGCCATGGGCCAAACTGAGACATTTCTGCATGCTTAGGGTGAAGAGGAAACCACCACCACCGGCAACATGAGGGATTCCCTGTGAGGGAAGCCAAAAAGGCAGTACTCAAGGGCAAATTCATATACCCCACATGGACATGACCAAGATTAGTGGTTAACCATGGGTTATGCAAAGTTATGCAGGATACCCCAGAATATGTGTATCCCTATGTAAGGCCCTAGGTGGGGTCAGGTCCATTTTGGGATATGTAAGTTGGCCCTTGGACAGTCTCGAGTTAAGACATCTGGCCACCTGAAGTTCAACTCGCCCTCCTGCAGCTGAAGCTGAGGGTCTTGCCGGTGAGAATTCAGGGTAGCGTTCGGCAGAGGGCTTCTTTTGCGAGAAACTTGTCCCATGGCTTGGTTTGTTTTAGGCATTTTTTTGGCTTTGCCCCCCGGCCGGAACTTGCCGCAACCCTCGGTTTTGTCTTACAGCAGCCTGGGAGATCCTCGTGCCACGGGCCGGGATTTCTCAGGGTGAGCTTTTGGACTTCACTGACTCCTCTGAATCCGAACAAATCAATGTGTCCGCTTTCCCTTTGGTTTCCCATACCAAGCACTGCAAAAATGGTTCCCTCAAAAAGGGCCCAAGCAAAATATGTGTTTGTTCATTTGCCAGAGATTTGGAGGCAGTTGAAGAGACTGGCACCAGCCCCGCACTGGTTTCTCAGATCTGAAAATCAGACGGGGCTGGAACCCGCGTGCCACTGGCAGTCCAACGAATGACAGCCAGATTTTGGATTGTCCTAAAATTTGATTTCAGACGAAGCCAAAAGGAGCAACGGCCGGCCTTTCGCATTTTAGGACACCAGGTTTTGAGGAGCTGACTCTGATACCAGAAAGGTGCAGAGTTGGCCAATTCCAGTGAACGCTGCTGAGGGTCGGTCCGTCAATGCCTTTGAAGCAGATGGTGCCTGCCCTGGATCATGAGAACAACGTCTAATACGTTGCATGTTGGGGGGGGTGTTTATTCAGATTGTTTTTGACGGTTTGAGGCTTGTATTCAATTGAAGCCAAGGGTCTGATGAAGAATATATCTGCTTTGCGTGCGTGTTCCTGATGTTCGCTTCTGGAATTCTTGTAATTCACCCGAAACAGATCTCAGTAGGTGCACTCAAATTAAATTCTCCCTGGAAGCAGCGGGTAACTCACCTAACTTTCTGCGTAACTGGTGTGCGCACTGGATATTGACCTTTCCTTGCGCCCCATTCGAACACGTGGGCCATATATAAGTTAGCTTAGTTCTTGGCGGAAGTCCCGGCATCGCTCGCTGGCGCCATTTGGGCGATCGGATTACAGCGGCTGTGGCGAGCCTAAGGCCCTGCCCCAGCCGATCGCTTGATCTAAGCAAAAGAGAGAGTCGGGCAGATGCATGCGCTCCACTTTGGAGGCGGATCTGGGGACCCATGGAATTTGCATGCCTATCGCCTATCAGACTGGAGAGCTACGTTCGGCATGTTCAGGGAGCATGCCCGCAAGTTCAAACTTGATGCTTTTGCGTTCAAGGTGGTTCGTTTGACACACCAGTGTCCAAGTGGAGTTGCACATGAGAAGTTGAAGCCGGGAACAGGTTGGGGACGCTGAGCATGCGCTCTGGTGTCAACCTGCTACCTTTATATTGGGTGCTGAACAATGCTTGGATATTGACTTCGCAATGGAAGATATTCAGTTGTTCCGGATTCTTCCAGAGCGTAGGGCATGAGTCCCGTGTTTGTCCACAGAAGCTGGGGGCAAAAGGAAGCCTTTGTGGTTTTGTTCCCTTTGAAGGAATCTGAATTCAACACGTGGTGCCTAGGTGAGCCGGGGGGGGGGGGGCGGGGGGTGCCGGGCCCGAGAAAAGACGGTTCCTTGCCTGTCCGCTTTGTGGCCCCTCAGGTCTCAGAAAAGCTGCCAGATTTCCACTGATGGGATTTGTTGTCTTCCAAGGCGTAGCTTCCATGGAATCTGGAGGTAATGGAGCAGGGGCCCTACGTTTTTAAAGCATTTGACGGATCGTTTTTTTTAAATTCCTTCTGCCAGTAGTGTCCCACAGATTTGGGATCCGGGATTCCTATTTGGGCCTGTTTTTTTGGTTCAGCTTTGCACCCCACAAAATTGTGGCTTCTCTTTGGTTTTACTTTAAACCAACCCCGAAAAGGGTATCCACAAAAATGACACCCCCATCTTGAGCAGCGTGTAGGTGATTCCGCTGCTGCTGGGGCGCTTGCATGAAACTTCCCAGGCCGGGAGAGGTGCTGTGAGTGTGGCAAAGCTGCCAACTACTTGCACCACTTGGGCTACAGATTTGATTTTGTAACCAACCTTGAAGGAACTCGAAGCCTATCTTAAGCTGCAACCTGAAACCATGCAAACCAGACCTCTGCCCTAAACCAGCCCGAAACAATGCTCAAGAATAGATAAACTGAAGCCAACCTCAAATCAGCCAGATTTGTTTGTTGTTCCAAAATCATTGATTCTTTGGGGGGCTCCAAAACGCCAGCCCAGACCTACCAACCAGAAGCAACACCCAAAGCACCGGCTCAAACCTTTTCAAAACATCCCCCTACATAAGTACCCCCAAATACGAAGTGCCTATTGAATGAGCTCGCCTGGGAGTAAAACGAGCTCAACATGACGTAGATCCTTTGTCAGGCATCCATGTCGTATTTCAGCTTTCGGAAATACTGCAAACATTGAAGACCCACTTAAAGTCTGCCACCAGGGCAGTTAGGTTGTCAGTGTACAAACATCCAAGACCTCAACTGGGTTTGTCTCAAAATACGAATCAACGCCAACAACCAAGAACCTGAAACCCTACACTCCAATCCCGTCCCCATCCCCCCGCCAAAAAATGACAAAAAAGCGAAACAGAAAGAAACAATTCCCATCTCCCCATGACCCCCCCTCCAAAAAGAATTAAACCAGCAAAAGTTGTATTAAAAATAAACCCAAAAAAAAACAATTGCAATTTCGAATGCCAAGCTACCCATTCCCAGCGGCGTGCCCACGGAGGCCCTGGCGGAGCTCCCGGGCGCGCCTATGCCGCTGGCGCTGGTGGAGGGCCTGCCGCGCATGCCTCGGCTGAAGCGAGGGGGGCAGGCGCTTTGGGCCCAGAAATGTGGCAGCCCCCTAGTTTGGGCGGTTTCCTTTTGGTTTCCCGAGAAACATCATCCAAAAAGGGTACCCTTCGGAAACAAAGGGGGGGGGGGAAGGACACCCACCTGGCTTGCTGGTGCGAGAGCTAGGGAATGAGGGAATGAACCCAGTCCTCTCAAAGGAAACCACCAGTTGGATGCTGTATAAGGATCATTTCTAGAAAAAGGCGTTGGGTCCTCTAAAATGGCAACGGTTTCGTTTTGGCTTCCCACTCTCACTGTCCCGTTCAAACCGAGAGGAGCTAAACCAGGGGTGCTTCCCGAGCTACTGGTCCCCTCAAAGGGGTGTTTCTCACCAAAAGTGATGATTCCCGAACCCCAAAACACCCCGATCAATATGGGGTCAACATTACCCCTTGTTGGTTGGTGTTAAAGGCAACCCAACAGGAAAGCCACCATGGGGTGGTACCGTTCCAATAGACACCCCTATTCCAAATTCCGAGAAAAGAACCGGTCAACATATGGATGACCCCGAGCAAATGGCAACCTGGTGATGTTTGCCCCCCGAATCGGTGAGCTCTCAGAACTTTGCTCCAGGGTTCCCATGCCACCCTCAGGAAGCCAACAGAAACCAAGCCAATCTTCAACCTTTGTTAGAGGCTTCGGGCAACCCTGCCAGAGGGGGGGTCCAACTTGTGTTCCCTTGGGGCAAGAATTGCCTCGTTTCCTTGGCTAGGTCGTCTGCTGGAAGAATCAGACGAAGCAACACCGCACAAGGGCCTTGCCCAAAACGACAATCCATTCCTAAACATGAATTTGTTTGCAACGCACAACTGTCAAGTTTCCCCAAAAGGTAGCTAAACAGGTGGTCTGGCAAAATATCAGTACTCCTTCCGGTTGTTGTTTTGCTGGAAAAGCGCGTATGAACATGAATTCCTTTTGCCCATTAAGAAACATGCTTGGAAAAAGGTTCCTTTGTTGACCCACCACAAATGAGTGTTTCTCCAAATCTTGGACTTTTTGTTGAAAGGAGACCGTTGCCATTTTGGGGGAATCATCATTTTCGGGCTTTCATCAATATGGGTGTGGCTCAAAATTGCAGAGCTAGGGCAAACCGCTGGCTTTAGCCTTTGCTTCCATTTGCCATTGGGCGCCATTTTGGTCTCCATTTTTTTGAGCCACAGCCATCTGGGGTACCAATTCCCCGAGGCCAGCCTTGGAGAGCATCGGGGGCCCTTTGCCCCCGCCGGAGCTGGCGCCCTCACAGGATGCCTCGGGGCAGGGAGGGCCCGGGGCCAAACTACACAGAAATTGGTTTTGATGGTCTAGGGTTCCTCTTTGCCATCAGGGTCACCTTTCAGAAAGTATCCACCTAGAGTGATCCTTCATTCTTGAATCTGGAAGCTATTGGGAACCGGGCTATTTTGCTGCTTCAACCAACCCTTTATCAATCCTGGCCAGATTAGCTCTCGCTGTTGATGGCAGAGACAGTGTTTCTTGGCCCCATGCACAAAGCTATGTTCCAGACTCACTGGCAAGCGCACAGCCTATTGGTCTGGCCTTGAAGTTTCCCTATGTGCGAAAGGGGAGAGGAGGTTTTGAACTGCCATCATGCCAACTTCCGTGAATCAAATCCACATGTGCTAAATTAGAGAGCCTGCCTGGCTCTTGTTGACCATTTAGAGAGTCCCCCCCCATGTCCCGCTTAAATGGATCATAGACTAGAAGTTTTGATCCAACTCACATGAAGGGTTAGTTGACTTGTGGAGTGCCATTGCAAGGGCCTGTCGCCCAAGATCCAAGGCGACAAGTGGCTGACCGCGGGGGGTGTTGGCTGACCGCATGCCTGGGCTCTTATTCTGGCGCCTGCTTCCGAAATGGAACATCTGCTTGTGATGTGAGTTATTTTGTTCGCTGCCCCTTTCACCTTGATTGAACTGGAACCAAACTCCAAACCGACAATTATTGGAGGTATGTTGACAGAAGTTCCCAGCTCGCTGAAGGTTCCTGTCACAAGGATCCCGTTTCCCCCAATAGCTGAAAGCTTTGGGGTCTCAGCCCAGATAGGCTCCGGATTGGTCCGGGGCGGCCGTGAGGTAAGGTTCCACAAGGGTTCCACCAGGGTTCCACCAGAGTTCCACGAGGTTCTGCGAGGCTGCGGGGTGGTGCGAGCACTAAAAAGAGCACAGCATGCTGTTGGGGATATCACCTGAGCTCATGTGTTTGGGCGAACTCTAATCACCCAGAGTAGTTTTGTGACCTTCTTCAAGCGGTGCCCCAAACACTGTTCCTGATCTTCACGCATACCCTTTTGCCTTCGCATACCCACATTCCCAACTGAATGATGGCCGTGTTCAAGCCGGCGGTTCACATCCAGGAGAATTTGCTGCCGCTGCCAGCGGAATCTGTGCACAACTGGTGGGAGCAGGCCCCGGTGCGACGCTTAGTGAGTCAGACGGCCAAAATAGGTGAGTTGGTACTCTCCGCGGGGGTTGTTTGCTAAGGGAAGCCACCTCTTTATGGGGACTCCCAGTTCACAACTCGTGTCTCAAACAAGTAGTAGAGTTCTTTGCATGCACATGCGAGGCATGCGACTAAGGCTTTGGCCGATCCGCCATCCAGCGACATCCAGGACCGCGACGTGGAGACGATGCGCCGCTCCGAGATGTTGGAGGCACAACAACTAGCGTTGAAGGCGGTGAAAGCTGGACGACACCATGGGAATGCGTTGAAGTGAATTCCCAGAACCCGTTCCAAACACATGCTGGGAAAGTGAGATCATGTTATCAGACAAAGGGTCGGCTTGGGTCCCATGGCCAGGAACTAGCGACTTGAGACGTATTCGTTGCCTCGCGTGGACTTTGCTTGTTTGAACTGCGAAGTGAACTCCGGATGAATCCGGGCGCTAATTACTACTCAGAGGAAGCCCCCAAACTTGAACAAATTGGCTACAATGAGAACCGCCCCTGATTAACAAGCGTTGTCCCCCGCATTCATCTGAAATTATATTTTATGGTGGTTTGCTGTATCAGCTTTCACACATGACTGTCCACCACGATGTTGAGTGTGTTCTCGAACAAACGAATAAACGCCACAATACAAGGAATACTTACTCACATTTTTACTCATCATGTACTCAGAACCCCTAGTCTACTGGTTTAGCCCTTTAGCCACATATCAAAGTGGGCCGGCCAGGTCTGTGTGCAGACAATGGCGGTCTTGCAGCTCTGCTTCTCAGGCGCGGCGAGGGAGGGGAGGGAGGGGAGGGAGCCCAAATAAGGCCGTATGTAATAAGAGCAAATTTGGGCTCCCTCCCCTCCGTCCCAGGTATGAAATTGTCGTGCAGCAGACCTGGTTGAAACAATGTGCGATCCTTGAACCCATTTAAGTTTGTAGGGAAGGCAATTGCAAGCAACACATGTTTCTGCAGAGCAATGGCAGTTGTTGTCACGATGTTTGTTTGGCCGTTTGGCCTCGTAGATCTGTTTGGCTGGGAGACCTGGTGTTTTTCTATTGCAGCTGTTACAAACGCGCAAATGCGGGGTGTAAACCAACTGATCAAAAGGCCTTTGCAGGCCCGTTTCAAGGTGACTTGCTGATTCTCTATGGGGGCCGCAAGACTAAGCCGAAAGCAAACCTTCTGACCACTCATTTTCAGTGCATGCCCCCAGGTTCATTTGTCCAGTTTAGGGAGTCTAGGCGGATCAAATTGCATTAAGTCCAAGCGACCTGCTTGGAATGCAAGAGCTACAGTGCCTTTCATTGCAGGCCTTTACCACATTGGCATCGGTATTTAGGAGGCACACACGTTGGTGGGGCATATCTGCTGTAGCTTTGCTGATGGCTTTCGAGTTGACACATTCCAGTGGTGGACTAGAGGAAACTTGTTCCGTTTGCACTAGAGCAACCAAATGTCTCCCTTGGGGCCAAAAAGCACAAGGTTGCAGAGACCCTAAAGACGGAAGATTTGAGGATCATTTGTTCCTTCTTTCCAGACCCTCCGTTTACCCCCAGCCTACTCTATTGGATTGGTTGCATGCCTTGGCCCCAAGCCTTGCGCTCAATTCCCCTTTTCGACTTTTGAATGGGCCAAGATCCAAAACATGGCAGGGAGTTGAAGGTTGGTGGGAGAGACAGTCCCAAACATAGGGGCAGCCAGAGAAATGGGCTTGTGGGTTGGTTTCAAAGCGAAGCCAAAATGAGACCGGCCATTTTGGGGCTCCCCTGGGTAGGAATCCCCCTAAAGGGGGTTGAACCCTGGCTGGCTTTGGGATAGCAACCGGCAACGGAGGTGGGTCCTCGAGTCTCTTCCGGGTTTTGCCGCGGCGGACCCTCGAGACCATGACGGCGCTGCTCGGCTTAGCCGCCGAAAGCGCAGCGAGTCCCGTGCTGTTTGGGGGACGGGCGAGCCTGGGATACCACTGTGAGGGAGGATTCAAAGGAACCACATGGACACAGCCCTTGTTCAGGGGATGTCTGGGATCTCATTTGAAATTGCTTGCATTTGTCCACTGCCCAGTGCTGACACTTAAAAACCATATAGAACCTAGTCCATGTCCAAACCGGGTGCCAAAGTCTGGACTAACAATGATTCACTGGAATTCAGGAATCCCCAAGTAAGGGACCTTCATCACGAGTTCACTCCCTACCCCTGAGCTCCAAACACATTTGCGTGGTGCATTGCTCAAGTCTTTCGGGTTTCGCCGTTTCACCCAGGGCCACTCTTTTCTGCCTAGCTCTTTCCACAAACCAGTCATTGTTGTTGCCACTGTCCAGTGATTTTGGGCGCATGGATGACCAAAACCAGGGTCAGCCCGTTGGGTCGGCCAGCTTCAGAATTTAGGTTATGGTCTCAAAGCACATGTCTTGCATCCGATCTATGCTTCCAATTTAGATCAGAATACAAACCAAGCCACCTAAATCATGTTCCTTTTTGCGATGTCTAGAGAGGAGATATCAGGAATCCTAAACGCCAATCACCAAGGTTCTTTAAACCCTGCATCCACGCTCTATTCCCATGATTGTCATGCAACACAAACGCCACGGTTCCTTTCTGTGATTTGAATGCAGACATATCAGGAGCATGTTCACAGGGCCAGCCCCCACGTCCTGGAACATGTACCTTTGCATTACAAACCACTACCTGTTTAAGTAATAGACCAACCGCATCCATGTGCCCAGGCTGGCGCCAATGGTGAGCTACCTGCTGCGCCCGAGACTCAGAGAATTTGATGCTCCCCTTCCCGACGAAACGACCAGCTGAAACCAGTAGGGCACAACCCAAGAGTGATGTCCGGGCATGTGCGTTGCTTGCAGGCGGAGTTCTCTATTTGTCCTGCTTTTGGTTTTGTGCATCGCCTTTTGGGCCAGATTATTTGGTGAGTTCCTTTGGGTGGGGTGAAGAACATATCCAGGGAATCCTGGCGCTGTTTTTGTTTGGCTTCTCCTTCAAGCCCTCGAAACATGGGACTTTGACATGACAAAATGGGAGGGTTCCATTTCTTGATGGCTTGGGTTGGATCTTCAGACTGAAACTTTTTGGGATACCAAGGCTTCTTCACTGAGCCCACAAAAAGTTCTTTTGTTTGCAGCGGGGTCAACAGCAACCAAGATTTGCAAAATGAACGTAGGCCCAAGGATCACACGGAAGTCTTCGAGATTGGGCAAGCCGGCAAGGCGTAGCCCCAAAGATTCTGTGGGGCGTGCTTGCTTTTGCGAACACCCATGTCAGGAAGCAGTGTTTGACTGGAGCTTAGGCAAACCCTGTTTTCAAATTGTCCGGTTCCCCAATTGTTCGGCCACAGCCTGAGGGACCAAGGAACTAGGAGTTCAGCTGTCCTAAGCTTGGGAGAGCGCCCATACCAGGTCCTCAAATCGAACAACAATCCCCGGGAGAGGTCCCAAAATGAACAACAAAAAACACGGCAGGGGAGGGGCACCTCCGAAATCGGAAGACACCAGCGCAAGGCCCGCGCAGGGAGGACCCGGTGGCGCAGCAGTTTCAGCTGGGCCCACAGCGCATGGAGGCCTTCGTGAGGCGGCCAGATGAGATGCTGCAGAAGGAGGTCTACAAGGCGAGGGAGATCAGACCCAGCACCAGTTTGAGAAACAAAGGCGACGGAAATCAGATCCACCAAATTTAGGTTTTGGTTCTTCTTCTTTTTTCCCCTTTTTTTTTTTTTCGTTGGGAGGGTCTCCCTAGATCCAGCACCAATTTGAGAATTTTTCGTTGGGAGGGTCTCCCTTTATCCCACACGGAAAGGGTGGGTGCTGTGCCTTTTTTTCCCAAGGGCCTGTGCTTGATCGGTGCTAGTACGGATGGACAAGATTCTACATTCATGTCCTACTTTAGAGACCAACCCAAATTTGGGCTGTGACTTTGTAGTTGGAACATAAATCGAGCCATGTAAATAGTTGGCAAAACTGGCCAGTTCAACCCTTCAACCAGCAAACATGGAAGTGCGCAGGCTCTGTCTTTCTCTCTCTCTCTCCCTCTCTGCTCTTCTCGCTGTCTCTCTCTCTCTCTCTCTCTCTCTCTCTCTCCCTCTCTGCTCTTCTCGCTGTCTCTCTCCCTCTCTCTCTTTCTCTCTCCTCTCTCTCTCTTTCCCTCTCTTTCCCTCTCTCCCTCTCTCTCTCCTCTCTCTCTCTCTCTATCTTTCTCTCTCTCTCTCTCTCTCCCTCTCTGCTCTTCTCGCCGTCTCTCTTCCTCTCTCGCTCTCTCCATGTCTCTTTCTCTCTCTCTCTCTTTCTCTTTCTCTTTCTCTTTCTCTTTGTCTTTCTCTCTCTCTCTCTCTCTCTGTTCTCCTCTCGCTGTCTGTCTCTCTCTCTCTCTGTTTCTCTCTCTCGCTGTCTCTCTTTTTGTTTCTCTCTCTCTCTCTCTCTCTCTGTTCTCCTCTCGCTGTCTCTCTCTCTCTCTCTTGCTGTCTCTCTCTCTCCCTCTCTGTTCTCCTCTCGCTGTCTCTCTCTCTCTCTCTCTCTCTCTCTGTTCTCCTCCCGCTGTCTCTCTCCCTCTCTCTCTCTCTCTTTCTTCCTCTCTCTCTTTGTGTGTGTGAAAAGTAGCGACACAAATTGGACCATGTTTGATTCATGTCCAACCCACCAACGTGACAAGCCCATCAATTTGAATCGGTCCCTGCCAGGTTTCGAATCATGCGAGACATGTCACATGTCGCGAGCTCATGGGCTTCCCAAAGACATGCTTGTGAAAGGCAGCTTGCCAACAACCGTTTTCTGAAGGTGCAAGGAGAACCGCAGTTTGTTTCCATTACGAGATGGGTGTGGGTATTCTCTTTGGGTTTGCTATGAAGCCCCATTTAGGGCATTCCCAACGCGGCGACACCCCTGGTGGCATGAATCGTTTCGTAAAGGAGGACCCCAAGCTAAGATGCACTGTCCACAAAGACATCGGGTCATCGGGTTGTGTTGACATGATATCGTTTGTTGGCCTGCTGTGCTGAGCAAGAATATGATCGCAGGGACTTGTGCCTGTCCAACTGAAATGAACTGTAATATGAGGGTTTTAATACTCTAAAATCGTGTGTGCCTGATCATGACTTGTTTCAACATGCCCCACAGCCCTATCTAATCCCTGTGTATTGGCACCTTCTCAAAATGGCGACGGGTGACTTTCCGCGATTGGCATGTCCGTTGTATCAAAGGAAATAACGTGCAGCCATTGCCATATTGCTCCCCAAAAGAAAAGGCCAAACGAATTTCCTGCCAAACGTGAGGCGATTTAAGTTCCATGTGAACCTCCGCCTTTTTGCAAGGAAACCGACTGGATACGACCCTTGTTGAGCTAGTATGTGTGGAACGTCTTTTCAAATGATTTGACATGAAGCCGAATCCAACATCTGATACTTCGCTTGTGGGCAAAAGCTGAGGTAGACATAGATGGGCATGTGTCACAATAGGGTGGAACAAGAATGAGTGTCCTGTTGGTTAACCCCTTTGAACCGACCCAAGGGGTAGCTTCGAAAGGCACCCACTATACGCCCCTTGAGTTCAGGCGGTGCAGAACATGATGCCCATGCTCCCTGGCATCATGGGCTGGGCTACCTGGAAGCATCGGCCCGAGGACGGAACCAGCGGAGTGACTGGAGGGAGGTCTGTGGTAAAAGGGCACACCAAAACGAAGGGCTGTTTTGTAGGTCTCATGCATAAATCCATCCTACTGCGCTAAAGTTCTGTTGGTCGATCCCTCAAAACTGGCTGGCTCAATGAGGGATTGGTTGGTTTGGAACGAGCAAACCAGCAGAGGTTTCCAAGTAGACCAAATTGATACAAAAGGTTGAGCAAAACAGATAGAAAAACAGATTAAGGCTCAGAAAGCAGAGGTTGGCTGTCTCATGTTCACCACCGTTCACATGTTTCGATCGTTTGTTGCACACGTTGTGGTGAGCGTTTGCAAGCGGGAGGTTGCCAACAATTGGGTGTGGGTCAAAAATATGTACCCAAAATGGAACCCTGGTAAGTGGCACCATGGACCAAAGCCTGCGGTCCCCTGGTGGTTTAATTTTGACCCACACCCAAATGAGTTGTCCTTTTCCTGACTGGCATCCTGCTTCAACACAAAAGACGTTATTCGTATCGGATGCTGCGACGGACATGATGGCATGAAACCTATTGGCTGTGCAATACGATGCTTTGCGCTATTTTCTGGATGGAATGCAACGCAGGTTTTCTGTAGTTGCCGAATCTCTTCGCATTGTAGGTGCTCGGCTGTCACTTGACCCGCCATATGTGTGATGTTGCTTAGCTGAGTTGGCTTGAACAAGCGCGGGGGTCCTTCATTTTAAAAGCTTTCGAAGGAGGAACAGGTCAAGGTGCCCAGTGCCCAGGGAAGGGACAATATTACTGGGGCACTTGTGCATGGTCCCCTTCCGCTTTCGCAGATGTATCGGCTTATGGTAGTCCATCGGTGTTTTGCTGACAATGTCTACTAGGCTTAAAGGAGTTTGATACATTAGCGCCCATTTCTCAATGGGTTGTTTAACCCACTGGGTTAACCTCCGCTGAGGCGGGCTTTTCAAGCAACTGGGAAACAAGTTTTCGGTGCGTTTTTTTCTTTGGTTCCATTGACCAGGACAACCCATTTTGGGTACGTATTTTTGACCCCCTGCTATATTCCAGGTGGCTAAAGGAAAACCTACTGACAGGACGTGCTGATGGGCGAGAAAACCGGCGGCGCCCACCTCGCGCTGCAGAGGGATCTGGAGATCCCGCCCTTCATCGTGGGCATCGTGCTCAAGAAGAGGGAGGCCAATTCGGATTCAAGGTTCAGCGGCACGGTTTTAGTTTGTTTTTTCTTCTCCAGTTGGTTTTGTAGGTTTTGACTGGCCGAGGCTGACTAGATGCCAAATCAGTCCTTGCTGGGTTGCATACTGCAGTGGAACAAGCACATTCATGCGTTTGACTCCCACCCAGGTGCACTTGGCTTTGCAGGCTTGCTCAGACGTATACATTTGCATGGCCCCCTCCATCCTACATGGGGCTACTTATGGCTACTTTGAGGATATCTTGGTTGCAAAACACATGTGAGCACAAGGTGTGGAGGTGTCCGGTCGTTCCTGCGCCGAAGAAAAGCGTAGCACGTCTTACAGAACAGGGAACCCCAGCCACGGTGACACTGCAAAGTCGGACTTTTCATGCCAGAAAAAGCCGGCACCAGGTTTCAGCTCGAGCCGAGGAAGAGGCGGAGCTGGTTTCGGGTGCTTGCTCGCAGCATGAGAGTCTTAGAAGCTTGTAATTAGGTGGTTTGTCCCTTTTTCATAGGGTCTTATCCTCAGTGGTGCGTTTGGCGGATTTTATCTATAGGGCCCCTTCGTCCATGCTAGGAAGTCATTGCACCATCGATGGGATTCGCGCCAATTTCTTCTTGGAACCCTGGCTTATCTTGCCCTCAAAGCGTGTCTGTCCTCTAACACCAGTCTCCATGGTAGGTGTGTCTTTGTTTTGGGACCCCTCAAAAACAAGTCTTTTCCTGCTGGTTGCCCTTTAAACACCACAAAACAGGGGTACCCTCAAAAAAGACAAAGACACCCATACGGTTGATGCGTTGTCTTCATCTTGTGCGTTTTGCTTTGTTGCTCGCGAAATTCCCGAGGCGATTGCTTTGCAGGCTCGCGAAATTCCCGCGTGGCATGACTCGGAAGAAGAGCATGACAGAAATCATTCAAATGATTTACCGCCATGAATCTTGCATTCACATATTATAATTTGATATTTTTGTGAATGTGGATATTTTGAGATTGAATTTGAAAATTGATTTATCGAAATATATTATATATATTAAAGACAGATATAGATCCATAGGTAGACATAGATAGACCCAGATACATGGGGGATGGGGGGGAATTAGAAATTTAGATATTTAAATATAAAGATATTTAAAGATTTAGAAATTTGATCAATATAGTTTGTTATTTTAAGGAATATATATATATATATTTATGTTACGCAAATGAATTTTCTTTGGAATTTAGTTTAGGCGAACTAAATGAATAATAAAATGGGGAGGATATTTTTGGGCTATATTAGAGGGAATTTATTATGTTTAATTTGAATAGTTTTTGGATATTTGGAGGGGGTTGGGTTTGCTGGGTGGAATGGGTTGGAGATATTGGGGGTGATGGAGTTATTGGGGATGTTGGGTTTTGGGTTGGTGTTCGGAGAGGTTTTTTTTTGGGTTATATTGAAGGGGGATTTCCCGTGTCCAATTTTAGTGTTTTTTGGGGGCAGGGATATTAAGAATGCCGGTCGTTGAAATGAAAATGCTTAATATCGAGAATATCGGCTACCCAAATGAAATTGCTTAGCATCCCCTACCTATTCTAAAGATACATTAAGAATTTTCTAATTCAGCATAGCTTGCTCGCCTTTTTAGGCGACCCTAGGCAGCCTTATTGACCCACAAACCATTCAATCTTTCTTAACACTCGTGGACCGGATTCTTCTAACGATATTCTACTTGCTCCCTCGTGGTCGGGGGGATTTTTTTGGGCCGTGCTTCGGGTATACGAAGGGGGATGTCTCGCGTCTAATTTCAGCCTTTTTTGGGAACGGGGATATTAAGAATGCCGGCCATTTAAGTGAAATTGCCCAGCATCCCCTGCCCGCTCCATAGGTACGTTAAGAACTCTTAACGATGTTATTCCAATTCAGCATAGTCTAATCAATTTTTCTCGACGTTTCCCTTTCGAGGGGGTTGGTGCTGCTGGGACGTAAAGGGCGATTTCCCGTGCTGAAGGGCATTTGCACGGGGAACAAGCTGGTTTTCGTGCGCTTCCTTCTCAGGTATTATGATTATATGTAATTTATTGAATATATGATTTATTTGGGAATAGATATTGGATTGATGGAAAATTAAATAGAAATATAATATTGGCATATATTAATAGAATAGGTATGAAAAATCAAAATTTTAAATTTAGATATTGATTTCTTTAAATACATAATATTAAAACATATATAATTATATATTTCTTTATTGGATTTTAGAAAAAGGTTATATATTTATGATTATATTTGGATTAGATTTGGTTATTTCATTTATTTTTATATATAGATTTATTATATTTTGTATAAATCGAATAAATTATTATTTGAGGAATATGTTTTTATAAATCGGTATGGCCTCGAGGTCGTATTTCCCGTTCATTGGCAAGCCGTTGCGGTACTCCGGCCGAATCGTCATGTTTGCGGCGAGCGGCTATGCTTGTCCCGGTCTTTTCTCCGCGGCACAAGCTCGCGCCTTTTCGCGCGGTCCCGAAATGGATTCTTAACAATTTTGCTTAGAATTCCCGTGGCGTAACCCGGCCAAATTTTCCCGAATTTTGGGTCGCTTGCTACGACGCGGCTTTGAGATTTCCGGACGTTATGCCCGCAAATTTCTTTAGAAATTTACGACTTTCCGAAAACATTACCGGGCCAAATTTCGGGAAAATTTGGGGACTTATCCGAATCGAAATTGCTCGAAAAATTCGTGCCGGGTGTCTCCGAATCTTTATCTTTCTCTCTATGTCTCCCAAGCTGTTTCCGTGTATCCGTATCTATTTGTTTCGTAATCTCTGTCTTTCTCTGTCTATTTTTGTGCATCTCTGTGTGTCCCAATTTGTTTCTATTTGGTAGTTGTGCCTCTCTGTTTCTATTTGTCTATTTGTGTCTATCGTTCGTCTCTATTTGTTTGCGTCTTTTTGTGTTTCTCTATCTATTGCCGCGTGTCCGTATCCATCTATTTGATAATGTCTATCTATATATACATCTCTACCTTTATCTTTATATTTATATTTGTTTCTACAAATCGATTTAACAAATTTATATATGTCCATGTTGTTGCATACCATAGTTTTTCTTTTTAATTTCCGTTTGTTTCTTTTTGTTCTGTTTTCCTTTTCTTGTTTAATTGGTTTTACTATTTTTCTTGTTTGCTTACCTGCCTACCTCCCTCTTTCTCTCTCTCTTTCTTTCTCTCTCTTTTTCTTTCTCTTTCTTTCTTTCTTTCTCTCTCTCTCTATTTCTCTCTCTCTCTCTCTCATTTTCTCTCTCTTTCTCTTTCTTCTTTTCTTCTCTCTCTCTCTCTTTGTCTATCTTTCTTTTTTTTCTCTTTCTCTCTCTCTTTCTCTCTCCCTTTCTCTCTCCTTTTCTCTCTAAGAGAGAGAGAGAGAGAGAAAGAAATAAGACAACAAAATTTTGCTGTGTGCTTTCTCTTTTTTTCTCTTTCTTTTTCTCTCTCTCGGTCTTGTTGGGGGTATCGGTTAGTTTTTCCCGGGGCCGGAGGCATTTTTGGGGAATTATTGCCTCCACCTCGGGCATCTCCGCTAGCAGCAATTCTTCCTGCCATGGGTCCTCTCTTTCTCTCTCTCTTTCTTTTTCTTTCCCTCTCTCTTTCTCTTTCTCTCTCTTTCTCCTTTTCTTTTTTTATTTCTCTTTTTCTCTTTTTTCTCTATGTTGATTCTCATTTTTTCTCTTTATTTTTCTTATTGTTTCTTTTTCTTTCTCTTCTGTTTTTTTTTGGTTTTTTCTCTTTTCCTCTATTTCTTGTTTGTTCTTTTCTCTCTTTCTCTTTTTCTTCTTTCTTTATATTTTTCATTTTTATTTTTTTTTATTAGTATTGCCATTAATGGAATTAACGAGTTCTCTCCAATATATTATATTATAAATATATATATATAATATAATAATTAATATATTATTTATATAAATATATTAATTATTAAAAAACACACGAATTTATATAAGTGTTTTAAAAAATAAAATAATATAATATATAATATTATTATTTATATATATATATATATTTATAAAATTAAATCGAGATATTTACCAAAAAATACAATATATATTGTTAAATAAATATATCTATAATTTAATATATATTAAACCTATAATTAATTAATATTAATAATATAAAACAAAATATATTCTTAAAATTACCTAATATTTTTTATAAATATAATAATTTTACAATATATTTAGATAAACAATGTTAAAAGAATAATTCGATAATTATATTTCTTCTAAAAAATATAAAATCGAAAAACCAACATTTCTTTATATGTCTGAATTAGAAATATATATTCTATATTATCTATTGAATCGATTATATAAATCATCATGCATAATGGGCACACTCCTAAACATCATACAGGACAAATGCCGGGATAAAATCATGCATAATGGGCACGCTCCTAAACATCATAAAGGACAAATGCCAGGAAAAAACAATGCATAATGGGCACGCTCCTGGATATCATAGAGGATACATGCCGGGATAAATTAATGTTTATTAAGTATACTCCTAAACATCATAAAAGATAAATGCCGGCATAAAATAATACATAATATTAAATTTAAAGAACAATATATAAATATATTTAATATAAAATATTTAATATAAAACCACAATAAAATAAAAAATAAAATATAATCTTTATTAAATAATTTATTTCAATTCAATCTATCGAATTTAAATTATTTATAGAGAAAATTTTATATAAACATAATAAATATAATATATAAATAAATAATTTATTCAATCAATTATCATAAATTCATGTTATTTAAATACAAATATAAATTAAATTAAAACTATTTATAATATTAATTTATATAAATATATAATTATTATATTTTAAACTAATTATATATTTCATTCAAAAATATAATTACTATTATTTGTTTGTATATATTTATAACCATTTATCAATATTATATCTATTAAATTTATATTTGTATTTTTTTCCCCGAAAGTATTACGAAGGGTTCTTCCGTGCGGTGTTTTTAATCAACTTGCGCAGAATACCTTATACAAAGTCCCAACATAGAGATATCAGGAGCTCTTAGTCAACTTACG